CACCAATGACAACAATGAAACACTGTATCGGCCACATACACATGCTGACCCAAGCTTTGGGAAAACATGCTCCCAACGCCTCAATGAGATCAAAATCCACCTAATATGGTAGTTTCAATACATTTAAATGTGTGACCGTAAGGATTTTTCATAGATAAACAGTTTAAACGCTGTGCTGAGTCGCCACTTGATGTCAAAACTGGGTCCTGAAGCAAAGCCAGATGAAAACCACAGTGCTGTATATGTGACTGATAAGTGGACAACAGATGTGAGATCACAACAGTGACAAAATGGCACTTGATTAGATATTGTTATCTAGTGTAATGACATTCACACATCACTTCTACATGTGTCGTACACACACATAAACACGTGATCATACACAGCTCAGGAATGTGAAGAATTCACACTGAACGGGCTGTTATTTAACAACGCCACACATGACGACAAGATAAGAAACAGGAGCTCCGATGGGTCAAGAATGAAGAAGAAAAATCATTCTACAGCATCACAATTTGTAGTCGTTTCAAAACGATGCGAGCAGGCGAAAAAGTGCCAAACCAACGTGCCAAATAATTAACGAATTAGGGGCCGTTTACACGACACCGTTTTCAACCCAAACCTTTTTATGCGTTTCGGCCGTTCATTTACACGACGACGGTGTTTTGAGGGCCTGAAAACTGGTTTCAAAGTGGAAGTATCTGAAAACGATACTTTTATTGTCTCCATGTAAACTACAAAAACATGAATTTGTGAAAACGGCGTAGTGTTTCTTTACAAAGTGGCATCGCCATCTACTGGCCTGGCATGACAATACAGCGTTTCAGTCGTTTTCGCAGATCCGTGCTGTTGGACTACAAATTTATAAAATGTTCAATCTAGGTTCCAATACGATCGTATATAAACTGAGAAAGTAGAGTACATTGAATTTAGCATTTAAGGTTATGATGTAGGGGTGGGCGATATGAGCAAAAATTCATATCACGATATTTTTCACTGTCCGGACGATATCGATATTATATTGCGATATGAGAGAAAAAAAAAATTGGAATCACATTTTAGTACACCTTAGTTAAATTACAGGCAAAATATGTATTTTAACCCTATTACTAGAAAAAGGTGAGGGATTTAATTGGACATAGACCTGAAAAATCTTTTTTTATTGTGCCATTGTTTTTCTCAAAAAGTGCAAACGTGCAACATGAGGAAGGCCTGAATTCACTAGTTATCTCTTTCCACTTTTTATTTTGCGGGGGTCAAATAATTCCTTCGTTAATAATTCGTAAGATGAGTAACACTGGAGTTTGGTTTATTAAATAAGTTATAATCAATAAATATGAAATAGTGTGATTTCAGAGAGGTTTGACACTTAGGCCTAATTGAAGACAACATTATGTTAACCGAGAAGTTTTTGTATACGGACCAAAAGAGAGAAGTAGGCTACATCCTGCTAATTCAGTGGTGAGAATTTAATTGTTGTTTTTATATATATTTTTGTCCATTTATCGAACTTCCATACCTCTTATATAGTAATTATATATAACTATGTATCAATTTACTAATGCTCGGACACACGCGGTCTCTCTCGCTGTCGAACGCGGAGTTCGCTTCGCTTTTATCCCGTCCGGCGCCTCATAGACAGATGCTGTGTGTGTGTGCGTGTGCGAGTGGCGCGTGTGTGACAAGATGGAGTGACAGTGTCACAGTGACAGAGAACGAATACACTGCGTGTTTTAAATAGCGTGAAAATTTTTTTATAATAACGAAACGCATTATGTGGCGGCTGGTGTTGATTCTGTGGCGCACCGCCACGAATTAGTCTGTGTGTGGTGGGAAACACTGGACTGTAACCATGCTCTCAGTGTTTGATTATTAATGCCTGTGCATCACGCGAGTTGGACACAAGAGGAAAAGGTTAAGTTCAGCCTCGATTTTGTATCGTCATTAGTAGTGTTATTTTAACGTTGTAAAGAGTACCAAATTGAACAAAACAATATAACTACAAAATTTGAATTTATGAATATCTAACGGTATTCTCGGTATCGCAAAATCCATATCATGGTACAACATAATACCGGTAGTCACGTTCATACCGGTATAGCGCCCACCCCTATTATGATGGTGAAGCAGAGTTGAGCAGAGCTGTTAAGCAGAGTTTCCAGCAAGAGATTCCTGCCAGTCCTGTTCTCTCTATTGTAAGTTAAATGAGTCGGATTACTGAGACTCTCACCCTTTGTCTTAATGGCTCTTGGAGCCCCTGGGCCCAGTCGTTGAATAGTTAGGCTGATTGGATTAGCATCTATTAGGGCTGTCACTTTACGTTCGAAAATCGATTGCACAATCGATCAGACCAAACCAACACAAGTTTCGAAAACGAAAATAGGGAATCGATTTGAACCAAAAATGTGTTTTAGGTGGACAGACCAATACAGTGCACAGAACATGTAGGATGTTGGAAAATAACAATGTGTTTTCTGTTAACCAAATGCTTTTTAATATTCGCTATTACTTCAATGCAAGTGAACAAGCGCGCCGTTATTTGTTGCTTAGTGACGTGTTTGTTCAAGTAAGCCAGAAATGCGCAGATTCTGCACAATACGCTGTATTTAATATATCACGAGGACTCACGAGTTGCGTATTTGCGCTAAATCCAAAAAGTGAGTAAACATAGAAACACGCCAAATTGGCTAGTGATTTGACAGCGTTACCCGCCAAAGTTCATTTTTACCCACATTTGGCGGGTGTTAATTTCAATCTCTGAATGTTGCGCTCCTGTTTGTCATTGTGTGAAACTTCACGCCAATAAATCATCAGAAATATCGCTGACTTGTGCGCGTCTCAAGCGCCCTCTTTACGCTCGTCCTAATGCCTGTTAGGTGTCCGTGGATTTGCCTATATTTGGTGTTGATAATGGAAACATCTTTAGACATGGAAAATCGTGAAAAGTGAGAAAAGCCCTAGCATCTATGCATTTGAATGACCCTATTATGCGGATGAGATCAGGGCTGGGGAAATTGGGCTGACTTCTGTACTTCATTTGCATGCTTTGTTCAGAGTTTTGACAACGTTGTCGTCTGTACACGAAAAACACGGAGGAAAAACGTTTTCATTTTTAGTACAACGTTGTCGTGTAGACGTACCCTTCGAAATTAACCATTTTATTATAAAAAATTACATTTGGAAATTCTTCTTTTTTTTGCAGTGAAAATTTTTTTGGGGGAAAAAAGGTGTAGTGATTTCATAGAGTAGGCTATTGTAGAAAAAAGCTTTAATTGTCGTTAATTATCTCAAAATCAATCCGAATATTTAACTTTTGTTAAAGTAATTATTAATTGATTCAATTACATCATTTTGAGGGCTTTAGTCCTTGGTTATCACAGTGAATCTGATCACCAAAAGCTTTTGAATGCACAATTTTTTATATCTTTTAACTTTTCGCAATTGTTATTCACCCACATTTCTTAATGACAGCTACATGTAAGTGTCATGTGAATCGACTCTACGCATCTTTGAATGCAGTATACGCAATTATGGCATTTTGTAAAACACGAATTCACTTCCACCAAGATCAGAATGAAACGGTATCAAGTTCAATCAATCTCAACGAACTGTATTCAAAGCATCTTCATAACATATTGAGCATGAAATGACAGCAGCGTCATCATCACTCATACACAACACATTCACATGCAATGCCTTAAGATCCTGCATATTAAAGTGCATGAAGCTTCAGTTGAGGACAGAGGAAGTTAAGACACCATCAGTGCATCGGCACCACTCCTTCTGCTCGAAACCCAAATCACAAGACGCCTCAATGATATCACGCGCTGCCCAGCTGGGTCTGAAGCGCAGAGAGGCTGTACTCACATCTTTCTTGGGGATTTTCGGAGTGGTGTTCTTATATTTGGACGTCTTAAAGCGATTCATTCTGAGCTGCTGGTCGCGCGCTTGAACCTTCCGGGTGTCTCGCTGTTGTGATCCTGTGCGTTTGAATGAGTGCGTTTCTGTGACGCAGAGCTGGCGCGCGCGATACGCGTAGCTCAAACGCTAATTTACAAATCATAAACTCGCACTACGGGTCGGTCAGAAAATCACGCAGTATTGTGTCATGTCTGCGAAATAAAAACGCAGTCGATGCTTTTAATGAAGGGTTCACTTACAAAAATGCAGTATGGTCTCCAATAGCTATATTAGCCTAGTTAGGATATTTATAAAAACTATATAAAAATAAAAAACAATTAGGGCTAATGTTCATATACCCTATCCTTCCCTAAAAGAAATTGAAAAATGACAAAAATGTCTTTTTACCCTTTTTGGAGAAAAAAAATGAGACACTTTTTTTGTTTTTCTCAATTGCTTTGGCTCAATTCTCGATTTTTCTTTTTTTTTTCTTTAAAACAATAAATTCAGATCTCTGAACAATAAGCCTATTTTGTTCACTTTGGCACATAGTGTGCGAAAAAAAGTAAGTACAATTATCTACAATTTGCACAGTAATACATGTCAAACATGCACAAATTGTCAAACTCTTCACAACTTCTAAACATTATTTTATTGTGTGAGCCATCACATGCAAAATTATCCATTCAGTTACTAAAATCTGTCAGACATGCATGACATGGAATGTTACAGTTTTTCTCGGTCACAATTTGGTACATTTCTCAGATCACAACTGAAATTCTCAAACTACTTGTTCAACCACATCATTTAGTCAGTTATGCACATCATAAAAGGAATTTCTCATTGCAAATGTGTGACGTTCTCAATCATGCTTACTCACATATTTCATAAGTAAGCGAACAGTAAATAAATAAATAAACATTTCTAAAAATAGATAGATATATTTTAATTATTTTGCCTTTATAACAGCAACTGTACGAGCCCGTCCACTCTATTTCAGTTCACATGCGTCCATAAAGAAATGGCCAGGCTAACCAAGAATCTCCCTCTTAACAGTAATGCGCATGCGTGTGTCGCTCGCAGTGCACATGCGCAGTCGCTCTCGTGTCAGTGAGTGAGTGGCAAAGATGGCGTGTTCCGCGGCTCGCAGCTCCGCACGCTGGATCACAGTGGCCGTGTCCTGCAGCCACACACGGGCCTGCTCACCCTTCATCTCCGGGGCGCATGACGCCTACAGGCGCGTCTTGACGCTGTCGGGCCGGCAGTTCTGGGCAACGCGCGTCGGGGTCGCTGGAGGAGCCGGGAGCGCGGTGACATTGAGAGGCATGACAGGTGAGAGAGAAGGCCTGAGCATCCAACTGCATATTACAAACTACTAACTCTGCGTTTAAAAATCAGGTCCGAACTGATCGATATAGATTCAGCTTTCATATGTTAGATGACATGATGATGTATTACCATACGTTCAATTGCAACATGTAGGTCAGAAAGCAAACATGGAGCACTGATCAATACATGCACACAATCACATTGATCAAGAACTATCTATCGATAATGTGTGAATAAGAGTTTGGATCTGATGTGAAATCAGAGACCTGGTTTGGCTCAGTTTCCAGAAACTTCTCTGACCTTGTTGCAGTTCAGCACTGACTGTCAGCTGGACTAATAAACACACTTTACGAGTCTGCATGCGTTGTTGTTATTATTATTATTATTATTACGAAGAAAATAATAAAAGCATTTTCAAAATATCCCTTAGTATGATAGTTATGTCCTGATGTGGTGTTTTGCTAAGTTTTAGATCTGTTTCCATTTGGTTCCTTAAAATGGACCTGACCTGAAGTTTGTAGGCTATTTGTTGTAAAAATACTGTAATTGCAGCATGTTAGTTACAGTAGTAAAACCATAGTAAATATGCTGTTCATAATTGGAATCATAAGTAATTATAGTATTGTGTGTCACAGCCGTGGGCCCTTCTTCTCATCTCATGTGCAAGATGTCGTTCCACACCAGCTCTCCTGCTAGAAAACAGGACTTCTACCAGATCTTAGGAGTCCCACGCTCTGCAACACAGAAGGAGATTAAGAAAGCTTATTACCAGGTAAAACACCTGACTAGTGTGAGAACCTGGGCCAGTTGTCACAACTATTCGGGTATCTCTTTTCCTGGGAAGTAACAATGGAAATGTTAAATAGCTTCTTCTTTTTTTTGGTAAAGCAGTGGTAAATTTAGACTAAATAATCACTGGAGTGAAGTGTGTGACAACTAGCCCCGGTGTAATTTCCAGCTTTTGACCATGGTTTGTTCTTTCCCCATTCAGATGGCAAAGAAGTATCATCCAGACACTAACAAAGAAGACCCTCAAGCTAAGGAGAAGTTTGCGCAGCTGGCTGAAGCCTACGAGGTTTGAAGCGTGTCTCTATGAAAGCTTGTTCTGATATCTGAGTCCAGTTGATGTTGATGCTGATGTTTTGTCGTCAGGTGCTCAGTGACGAGGGGAAGAGGAAACAGTACGACACGTACGGCTCCGCCGGGTTCGATGCGGGTCAGGCCGGCGCGGGACATCAGCAGTACTGGGGCGGGGGAGCCAGCATCGACCCAGAGGAGCTTTTCCGCAAGATCTTTGGGGAGTTTTCCGGAACGCGAGGCTTCGGGGATTTCAATGCCATCTTCGATCAGCCACAAGAGGTCAGATATGCTCTCCTAGATGTATAGTTTTTCTGTGTGGCCGGTGTTACGGAAGCTGGACTTTTATTTTTGTTCAGTTTAATTTTTTCTGATTTCTGAATCTGTTTTGATGGTTTAAATTCAATTTTAGTCATTAAAAAGCATGTCTAAATGAGTTCATTAAAAATGCAATCAAAAGAAAAAGTAACATTTTGCCTTATTTTGCCCAGTTTTCTACTATTTATTTTCCTTGTCAAATAAGTGCTGCACAACAGAACTTTACTGTGTAAATTAAAACTTGAATAATCTCTTATAATTCTCTTTAAAATAATAACACAAATATATCATAATAATGATTAAAACATTTTTATTGTTATTACTTTGATAAGTAGATTTTACAATGCAATAAAAATGTATTTTTATAATAATTTCTTCAAGTTGACTGGATTTTTTTTATTTTGTTTTACTGATTGTCTGGTTGCATTCGCTCCGCCAGTAGGAACTCTGAAGTGACGTAAGCCGCGCTTGTTGTCGTGACTTTTATTTTGAAGGCGCTGAGAACGCTCACACAGCGCCCGCAATCTCCATGTTCATTATTTTACGATCCGTTTAACAGTCCTGTCTCATACGTTATTAGATAGAACTGTTGTACATAGACAGGAGACAGTAATTAAAGGTTAGTAGCGTATGCCGTGTGGTTGATGCCAGTGTTGCTAGCTGAGCAGAAATACATAATCATGTTTCGCTTGGTCCCCTCGAAGTTGCGTTGGATTTCCTCCTTAGAGTAAAGTTTAAGAGGTCCATCTATCACCGTTTCCATGTTCGTAGAGTTAGTTTGTGGAGTAAATGTATAGACTATAATCTGTTTACACAGCTTTAAAAAAAAAAATGGTGCTGGTGTTTCGCGTGCATTCGGCCAATCAGCGTACACTTACGTCACCGTCACGGATAGTTCCTATAGTGCTGGTTTAGACTGACTCTGAAATAGGAGCTAAATGAGTTCCTCCAAAAGGAGTTCCTTGAATTAAAATCGTTCCTAGTTCCTGTGGTGCGAAAACGGCAAAATCCGGGAACTTCCGCCAATGGTTCTAGGAACTATGAAAAGGTTCCTCCGGTGCGAAACTCCCTATAAAGACCTTTGAGTTTCTGTGGGGTATGTGTTGTGCTAAAAGTTTTTATAGTTTTTCCAACTGAAGTGATGAAATAAAATTTTGTTAACTCTCAGAGCAGCTCTGGAGATGTTCATGTGTTCATATAGTCAGATGCTGAAAACACCACTAGCATTAGCGTACTTGAGTATGTATAGGAGACCAAACTGTGCCGTTCATTCACTTAGAAACACACAAAACATGCAGACTTCAGATTTCAATAGCAGTCCTTTTTGCAAATTTATCACAATTTGAATTTGATTTACTGTACGGCCCTAATTTTGATTTGTTATTCCAAAATTGGCAGAATTCCGTGACATTCCGCGCTATTCAGTAAATTCCATTTTTACCCCTGGATTCCGTGATTCTGTCAGTTGATGCTCTTATATATCCACAAACACTCTATTCTGCTTGTTAACAGTATGTCATGGAGCTCACGTTCGCTCAGGCTGCCAAAGGAGTGAATAAGGAGATTACGGTCAGCGTCGAGGGCACGTGTCAGCGCTGTGGCGGCCGAGGCCATGAGCCCGGATCTAAAGTCCAGCACTGCGGGAACTGCAACGGGACTGGCATGGTAAGTGACGCCCGCGAGCGCGTCCAGTCATTTAGGCATGTCCAATAACTCAACGTAGCGTTTGTCCTTGTAGGAGACGGTGAACACGGGGCCTTTCGTGATGCGGTCCACCTGCCGGCGCTGTGGCGGGAGGGGCTCGGTCATCACGTCGCCCTGTACGGCGTGTCGAGGAACGGGACAGACCAAACAGAGGAGAACCGTCACGGTGCCTGTTCCTGCTGGTGAGTTAGCCGGTCGTCTTTGGGGGAAGTGAGGCCGGTTCGGTGGAGGAGTTGAGTTTTGAGCTTTTGTTTACTGTGTTGTTCAGGAATTGAAGATGGGCAGACGGTCCGAATGCCGGTGGGGAAGAAAGAGATCTTCATTACGTTCAGAGTGAGTATATCACTGCGTTGAGGTTTTAGGAAGTCTATAAGCACGCCAAGTGATTACATGAAGGGCTTTCGCACCAGCTGGTTATAGGAACTAGCCAACAGGGCCGTTCCCCAGAGGATTAAATATTCCCCCTCCTGGTTGCAAAAATGGTGGGTGCCTGTGTTTTGTTATGGCATGCATTCAGCCAATCACCATACACTTATGTTACTGGTAGTTCCTATTGTGCTCGATTACATCCTACTCTAAAGTAAGAGTTAGTCCTCCCAACAGGCGTTCCTATAACTAAAATAATTCCCAGCTTATGTGGTGTGAACACTGTGAAAAGCAGGTACTTCCGCCAATAGCTTTGAAATGTCTAAATGACTGAAATTACCTTTGAAATAACTAAAATCAATTGGCGAAGCAATATGGAACTCTGGATTCTGGAACTAGTGGCACACCGTAGATCATTAGCTAACCAATCAGAATCGAGCATTGAACAGCGTTTATATAAGGACAGTTTTGTTCAATAGTTTGAGTCTACATTGACAATCTGAAATAAAAAATATATTTTGGCATTCTAAAACATCAAAAACTGCTATTTCTATGTTGCAAAAAAAAATCAGTCTAAGTGCTGCTGTCATTGAAGCAAAAGGAAACAAACCAGATGTTTTCAAATTCATGTGCATGTTTCAATTCAACTTTTTAATTGTTTTGCTAATGCAATTTGCAATTAATATTTCAAATAATGCAATTAATAAAAACATTTTATCTTAGTTTATTTTAATATAATGTATGTATTTAGTCATGTTTATTAAAACTTAATAATATTTATTATACATTTTGATAGTTATTAATTAATTGCTGATAACTTGTATTATATATTTACTGTTTGAACAGATTTTTTTTTAAACGGCATTCAAACTGAAGCTCCAATTTACTGTTTTATGTGGTACCAGTAAATTCTATCCAAACATTTATAATTTACAGTAGAAAAGCGTTAAATGCTGCTGAGACAGACAAAAAGTTGACTAATAAGTGTTTTTTATTTGCTGATTTGACTGATGCTGATTACGAAAATAACACTAATATTTGTTAACAATGCGACTGTCACGTCTATATAGACCTAAATTATCTGTTGTGTGCTTTTATTCCTGAAGACTGAAGTCAAGTCACCTTTTTTTTTTCTTTTTTTTTTTTTTTTACCAGGTGATGTCCCATTGAGATATTCAAATCTCTTTTACAAGGGAGCCCTGTGAAGTCAAGTCACCTTTATTTATATAGCGCTTTTTACAATACAGATTGTTTCAAAGTAGCTTAACAGTGATAACAGGAAAATAGTGCAACAAAGTTTGTTTCTGCTTTACTTTACAGCAGATATAGAAGAAAATAGCGTCACAGTCCAGCTTAAGTAAATTCAGTGATGCTTCATAGTCAAGTGTTTCCATTGAATAGACTGTATTTAGCAGGGGCTGTATAATCCCAGATCCAGCTTGTGTACTCTATGCTAATCATCTGTGTCGATGTTCTCAGGTCCAGAAGAGTCCGATCTTCAGGAGAGACGGCGCTGACATCCACTCAGACGTCAGTATCTCTGTGGCTCAGGCCATATTGGGCGGCACGGTCAGAGCGCAAGGACTGAACGAGACCGTCAATCTCTCGGTGGGACATCTTGGTGACGTTAACATAAGAATATTCAGATTAGTTTTAGTATATGGTCATGCATGTAAACACAGTCATTCACTCAGTGGATGTTCTCGTAGATCCCAGCTGGAATCCAGACCGACCAGAGGATCCGGCTCTCTGGAAAAGGTATCCCGCGGGTCAGCGGCTATGGTTACGGTGACCACTACGTCCACGTCAAGATCAAAATCCCCAAGTAAGACTTCTTACATATGTTTTATGTCACTGTTGAACATTAAAATGACGGATCCATCCGTTTGTCTCCTGTCCAGGATGTTGACAGACCGACAACGAGGCCTTATGATGAGCTACGCGGAGGACGAGACCGATGTGGAGGGAACTGTCAATGGCGTGACCAGCACCACTACAGGTAGTGTTGTTGCGCTTTTCCACTGCACGGTACGGCTCAATTCAATGGTACCACCTCGGTTGAGGTTCCAAGCGGTTGAGGTTGAGGTTCCAATACCACTAACTTGATAAACCACGTTAGCCGTTTTCACCGCGAGCTGTTAACGCCTGGCAGAGTCTGACTGCTTTAGAGTACGCGGATGAGCTCCAACGTCTTCCGAATCCGCAGCCAGATAGCCTACAAATCATCCACCATAATCATAATTTTCTCTGATTTAAGTATCCGCACCTGATGGTCAAATAAAAATTATTCTGTGTTGTTGTTGTTACGCGTGATTATAAATGGATGATCGTCACCTTCAACAGCGTACTCGACGACGGTTGATGCGCGCATTTCTAATGGTAACATTATACACTGATGAATGAGCGCTGCTTTTAAATGAACATTTCTTTAAAACAAAATTGATTTGACAGAATTTCATTTTCTTAATGGCATAAACAGGCTTTACGCCCTTGAAAGTTAAACTGGAATGTCACTGTGTCCGTCACTGCGACTTCCCGAACAGGCGAACACACGCGCGCACGCACACATCACTTTTGAAGGAAAATTTAGGATGCGGTGCATCGTAATGCATCGTGATATCGAATTGAACTGAATCGATGACATGATAATCGTAATCGAACCGAACCGTGAGACCAGTGTAGGTCACACCCCTAGTTATTTGTAAGACTTATTAACTCCATTCAATATCTATTGCAGGGGTTTTCAAACTGGGCTAGGAATGCTAGCTAACGCTAAGGAATGCTAAAGTTGCCAAGTCTGCGGTTTTCCCACAGAATTGGGATACTTTTAAATCAGGGGTCTCAAACTCAACTTAACTTAACTGGGGGCCGCTGGAGGTAGAGTCGGGGTCAGGCTGGGCAGCATCAAGTATTCCACAAAAAAATAGTATTCAAGTATTACAAAAAAGGAGCACAACTGATCCAATCTTCTCAATATTTATTATTAACGTTTCTTCTGAACTGTTCCTCTGAATTTGAACATTCCTTTCTGTACAGGATTGGTTCTTCATGAGCTGTCCTTCTGACAGTTGAAGTTCATTTTACAAACTTTCTTTGTCTATAACACATATTTGTGATATTTATTAGGGCTGTAACGATACACGATATAAAATCGAAATCGCGATACTCAGGTCCACGATCCTGTATCGCGATGTGAGAAGGATGAATCGCGATCACACCCCTTCCAACTCCCAGAGTTATCCTTCCTGTCCAGAACCAGGGCTCGAATTTCGGCGCGGGTATTGCGCATAATTCTAATCATTCCCGCAGGTCTCCCATTTCGTCCTCTATCTCTTCTCATAATGTGTTGTCCAAGGCAGGCATCAAGCGCTGCGGCGATAATACACACTCGCGTTGTGGAGTCGGGACCATAGACTGTAAGGTCGAGACATGACGGAATATTCACTTGCACAATCGGGCCAGCAGTGCATCGTGACTGAAGTCTTTTTAAGTCTTACCAGTTTAAACATTCAAGCGATTTTAAACTAATCAGTGCTCGCGCGCTCTCTGAGATTATTTTCTATGCGGACATTCATAGAAAATCCGCCTCAAAAACAGCTGGCTAGTAACTATTTTTCGCGGATTATATTGCTTTAACACACAAAATTGTCAATTTCGGTCTTTATGAGTAGGCTATACTCTAAATATAGTCGGTTTTGTCTTTAATAAGCATAAAACGCATGCCAGTATAATGAACACAGGATCCGTGCACTAGCTCTTAAAGTGACGGCAGCCATATGTGTCTGTCATTAATTTTGTTGTCAAAACAACAAAAGATGGCTTTAAGTTAAAGGAATCAGGATTAATAGCCTATGTATTTAATTTATTCAGGACTAAAATACATTTAATTAAACAATTTAAATCAAGCTTCCTTGTGATGTGTAAATTCTTAACAAGGCTATTACCCCATTGTAAAAATGCAATGAGCGCAAACATTTAGGCAAGATAAATGTAATAATTTTGTTTGGAAAAAATGCCCCCCCTTTCTCCCCCTCAAACAAAAAAATCCCCCCCCCCCATGAGAATCATCTAAAGGGGGGATTTCCCCCCCATTTTCCAAAACGAAATTCAGGCCCTGAGAACTACCACATCTTTAAATTACTATTTCCACTTCTCCAAACACTTCTTTACTATTCTCCCATTTTTATAATAATATGAATGAACCGTCTTGTTTAATCTTAAAGTTTTGGTGGTCAGATGCATATCTTACGGCACCATCCCGAAATCAATTTAGTTGGAGTACAGAACACAACCCAAAAGCAGCAGCCTACACTGCCTAGTATAGTTTAATAATTTGCATAGTTATTATTGTTCTTTGCTGTTTCGATTATACAGGTTTTTCCTAATGTTATTCAATAAAAATACCGGTATTTTTCTTCTTCTCTCAAAATCTCTTTTTTTCACCACAAGCCCCGCTATATATAAATATTAAGTGGCCCCTCAAGCCACGCCCCCGTGATAGAATCGCGATACGAATGGAATCGTGGGTCAAAAATCGTGATACGAATCGAATCGTGGGTTTGGTGTATCGTTACAGCCCTAATATTTATATTTGCTTATGTCCTTTTTATTTTCTTTATACAACACATTAATGATATTGAATGTTTTTTTTGGAAGGCACATTTCCTTTTATTATACTTAGAAAAACAATTATTGCTTTTGAAATACAAATATTTGCAGTCATGTCTGCCCGTCTTATTGAATTCTTTCTACACATGTATAGTGTCTCAAATTACTGACTGCACAAATCAAAACAAACCTTCTTATCAACCTGTTGGACACATATTACAAGCTCAAAATGATTATTCTCACATTGTTTTAGAGCAGGGGTCTCCAACACGTCGCTCGCGAGCTACCAGTTGCTCGTGGCCTGATTGGTGGTAGCTCGCCAAGGGGCCTGTTCACATATCGCGCTCACATATTTTGCGCGCTCAAGTTCGTTATTTCAAATGTAGGCGCGCGGTAAGCGTGCTCATAATTGAAGCGACGCGCTCGTTTTTTCCTGGCGCAGTATGTTTGTACTTCGCGGTTGTCTATGACAACTATTGACAACAAACCCACCGTAAGCTGTCACGAGACTATCTATGGTAGCCCATAAGGGATAAAAAAAAAAAAGAATAAAACGCGGCACACGCAACGACGGGCCGCACTAACATTAAACTTTAATGTCAAGTAGGGGGCCACACGGCCCGCGGGCCGCGAGTTTGAGACCACTGTTTTAAATGGTTGCGGCAATTAGAATTTTTTTTTTTTTTTGGAAGAGTCATTTGGCTAGTTTTGGGCTGTTTTTGATTGGTTTTTGCGCTAGTTTTGGCCTGTTTTTGATTGGTTTTTGCGCTAGTTTTGGCCTGTTTTTGATTGGTTTTTGCGCTAGTTTTGGCCTGTTTTTGATTGGTTTTTGCGCTAGTTTTGGCCTGTTTTTGATTGGTCATTGTGCTAGTTTTGGCCTGTTTTTGATTGGTCATTGTGCTAGTTTTGGCCTGTTTTTGATTGGCCATTGTGCTAGTTTTGGCCTGTTTTTGATTGGTCATTGTGCTAGTTTTGGGCTGTTTTTGATTCGTCATTGTGCTAGTTTTGGGCTGTTTTTGATTGGCCATTGGGCTAGCTTTGGGCTGTTTTTGATTGGCCATTGTGCTAGTTTTGGCCTGTTTTTGATTAGTCATTGTGCTACTTTTGGCCTGTTTTTGATTGGTCATTGTGCTAGTTTTGGGCTGTTTTTGATTGGTCATTGTGCTAGTTTTGGGCTGTTTTTGATTGGCCATTGTGCTAGTTTTGGCCTGTTTTTGATTGGTCATTGTGCTAGTTTTGGCCTGTTTTTGATTGGTCATGTGCTAGTTTTGGCCTGTTTTTGATTGGCCATTGGGCTAGTTTTGGCCTGTTTTGGATTGGCCATTGGGCTAGTTTTGGGCTGTTTTTGATTGGTCATTGCGCTAGTTTTGGGCTGTTTTTGATTGGTCATTGTGCTAGTTTTGGCCTGTTTTTGATTGGTCATTGTGCTAGTTTTGGGCTGTTTTTGATTGGCCATTGTGCTAGTTTTGGCCTGTTTTTGATTGGTCATTGTGCTAGTTTTGGCCTGTTTTTGATTGGTTTTTGCGCTAGTTTTGGCCTGTTTTTGATTGGTTTTTGCGCTAGTTTTGGCCTGTTTTTGATTGGTCATTGTGCTAGTTTTGGCCTGTTTTTGATTGGTCATTGTGCTAGTTTTGGCCTGTTTTTGATTGGCCATTGTGCTAGTTTTGGCCTGTTTTTGATTGGTCATTGTGCTAGTTTTGGGCTGTTTTTGATTCGTCATTGTGCTAGTTTTGGGCTGTTTTTGATTGGCCATTGGGCTAGCTTTGGGCTGTTTTTGATTGGCCATTGTGCTAGTTTTGGCCTGTTTTTGATTAGTCATTGTGCTAGTTTTGGCCTGTTTTTGATTGGTCATTGTGCTAGTTTTGGGCTGTTTTTGATTGGTCATTGTGCTAGTTTTGGGCTGTTTTTGATTGGCCATTGTGCTAGTTTTGGCCTGTTTTTGATTGGTCATTGTGCTAGTTTTGGCCTGTTTTTGATTGGTCATGTGCTAGTTTTGGCCTGTTTTTGATTGGCCATTGGGCTAGTTTTGGCCTGTTTTGGATTGGCCATTGGGCTAGTTTTGGGCTGTTTTTGATTGGTCATTGCGCTAGTTTTGGGCTGTTTTTGATTGGTCATTGTGCTAGTTTTGGCCTGTTTTTGATTGGTCATTGTGCTAGTTTTGGGCTGTTTTTGATTGGCCATTGTGCTAGTTTTGGCCTGTTTTTGATTGGTCATTGTGCTAGTTTTGGGCTGTTTTTGATTGGTCATTGTGCTAGTTTTGGGCTGTTTTTGATTGGTCATTGGGCTAGTTTTGGCCTGTTTTTGATTGGTCATTGCGCTAGTTTTGGCCTGTTTTTGATTGGTCATTGTGCTAGTTTTGGCCTGTTTTTGATTGGTCATGTGCTAGTTTTGGCCTGTTTTTGATTGGTCATTGCGCTAGTTTTGGGCTGTTTTGGATTGGTCATTGTGCTAGTTTTGGCCTGTTTTTGATTGGTCATTGTGCTAGTTTTGGGCTGTTTTTGATTGGCCATTGTGCTAGTTTTGGCCTGTTTTTGATTGGTCATTGTGCTAGTTTTGGCCTGTTTTTGATTGGCCATTGGGCTAGTTTTGGCCTGTTTTGGATTGGCCATTGGGCTAGTTTTGGCCTGTTTTTGATTGGTCATTGCGCTAGTTTTGGGCTGTTTTTGATTAGTCATTGCGCTAGTTTTGGCCTGTTTTTGATTGGTCATTGTGCTAGTTTTGGGCTGTTTTTGATTGGCCATTGTGCTAGTTTTGGCCTGTTTTTGATTGGTCATTGTGCTAGTTTTGGGCTGTTTTTGATTGGTCATTGTGCTAGTTTTGGCCTGTTTTTGATTGGTCATTGTGCTAGTTTTGGCCTGTTTTTGATTGGTCATTGTGCTAGTTTTGGCCTGTTTTTGATTGGTCATTGCGCTAGTTTTGGCCTGTTTTTGATTGGCCATTGGGCTAGTTTTGGCCTGTTTTGGAACGGCCATTGGGCTAGTTTTGGGCTGTTTTTGATTGGTCATTGCGCTAGTTTTGGCCTGTTTTTGTTTGGCCATTGCGCTAGTTTTGGACTCTTTTTGATTGGCCATTGGGCTAGTTTTGTTTTGCAGACCTGGCAACCCTGGCTAGAGTGTCTGTGGAAATGTTTACAGAAAGAGTATAAAATAATTCAAATAAATATTCAAAATTTTTATTAAAATAAATAAACGCTAGATTAAAAAAATATATTTTGTTGTTGGCTGACTTTGAGGGGTATAATAGTTCAAATTACTAACTGTTCGGTTTTTATCACGATTTTAGACTCACGGTTTCGGTACAGTTTGGTGCCATGTTCAGGGAAAAAAGGACTACTGTCAAATAAAAATAAAGAAAATACGAACAAATAATCAAACTACAAGCAACACCACAAAAAAATACAATAGGGCAAAGATGCAAATAAAATAAACAGTTCTCTTCTGGTTATTTAGGTATCTAACAGTAGTTTTTAGGTACAGCAATTGAATAAAGTAGTTTAAATGTAAAAAAAACATTGCATAGAATCTTCACTTTATAAATTAAATAAAGATTAATCATTATTAATGTTTCAAAAGCTATTCATTCAAGAGCAGTTAGTGATTTCCTTGTTTTCAAAAGCTATTCATTCAAGAGCAGTTAGTGATTTCCTTGTTTGATTAACATTAAAAAGGCAGACCGCAGGGATATTAGGCTGCTGTCACTTTAAGACAATGCACGGATCCAAAATACTGAGACACATGCGTTCTTTCTTGACTGTTTAAATTCGCTTAAGCAGGGTTCCAGACTGCGACCAAATTGGTCGCATATGCGACCATTTTTTGAGAATGTGCGAGTAAAAATGTTATGTGGTCGCATTTGTGCGAGTGGACGCTGGTGCAACAGAGCGCCGTTGTATCAGCAGCTGCAGTCCGTAACTTATGTTCAAAATGAACGAGTAGGCTACATCATGAATCCATTTTCCAAACCGTGTTTTTGACTTATTCTAAATCACTACGGTACGCCTATAATAAGTGTTTATATTCTGACTATTTTATCCCGGGGTCGTCTCGGCTGCGGTGCGGAGTAGCCCAGTGCCTGCGTGACTCGCCATAGAGAAGTTCCGTCTACAATGTTCTTCCGCAAGACACGTGCAGTTTATTTATTGACGAACGTAGACGTCACGCGCATTGCACACTGATGGTGAAACGCGCCAATTACGAATTCACGAATTAAGGCATATAAAAATGGTCTCACAAAACACAGAGCCCCCTCCTCCTACGTCTTTTCAGCGGTTATATTTTCCTCTGTCGAGCGATTACTCTCATGATCGCTCGACAGAGGAAAAGGAAATTATTATAAAATGCAGAAGGTAAGGAGTGTGAGATTTCTGCTTTTTGTTACAACTATAAACTTTGGTAACGAAAAATCTGTATCAGTTTATTATAATACTCTAATCTTTTAAAATGTAATGCATACATTTGAATGTTTAATGATTTTTAAAAGATACAAAGATGATAATAGACAGACAGATAGATAGATAGAATATGATTCAAATGTAAATAGATAGATTGTATATAATTCAAATGTAAAATGCTTAAAATTATAGATTAAAATTACTGTCCAAAATCCATGAAAATCCTGAAATTTGGCAATGATAATTAATATATTACAGGTATTTCTGCTGCAACCCAGAAAGCCTTTGCTAGCCTTGGTCCATTAAAACCACTATTCAGCAGCATGCATTGATTAATCCCATGGCATGTCGTCCCCTTGGAATTATAAGGTTCTATCTGACATTTTTGTCAAAATTGAGTTATTCACATATTCTTATTCTGTGACAACTTATTTACATTATGTGATGTGTTTTTTTAAATTGTGTACATTGTGGGACTTTTTATTGAAAAAACAAAAAGGTTCTATCTACAAAATCGAACTCTAACTTGGCTCTATAAGGTTCTATCTGCGTGAGCCAATCAGCACTTGGAATGCACAGAAGAGGACCAATCAGAATCAACTTTATATGTCATGTCGCCAACTTTTCCTTGAAGACAAAAAGAAACCCCATAAAGGCATAATGCTATACATTTACAGTAAATTAAATATTCACTAAATTGTGTAGTGTTATGAAGTGGCTTCAATTTGGCCATTTTCTTTATAGTGTATTGGTTATTATTATTAATTATCAATGAGGTTATTATTAATAACTATTATTTTTATAGTTATTATTATCTGAATTATACAAATATGCAGTGAGTAAATTGAATATTTAAAAAAAACATTTAACATGCAAGTGTGTGTGTGCGCGAGTGTGTGAAAGTGTGTGTGTGTGTGTGTGTGTGTGTGTGTGTGTGTGTGTGTGTGTGTGTGTGTGTGTGTGTGTGTGTGTGTGTGTGTGTGTGTGTGTGTGTGTGTGTGTGTGTGTGTGTGTGTGTGTGTGTGTGTGTGTGTGTGTGTGTGTGACTGTGTGTGTGTGAGTGAGAGAGAGTGTGTGTGTGTGTGATTAAAAAATTAGTCTGACATTTTTTGTGATCATATAGTCAGTGAATCATTTTTCAATGATTATTAAACTTTATGAATTAATTTGCTGAAGCATGTCGATTTTCTTGTAGTTTTTAAAGTCTTAAAATGTCTTAATTTTTACCATTTTAAGCCTTAAAGGTCAAATAGTTAACAATTTCATTGATGGGGTCTTAATTACAACAATAAACGTTAGCATGTTATTTCAGCCATACTGATGTCTAGAGAGAAAGCCATTTCACCTGGCCCACTTTAGCTGGAATAAAGTCCTGCTCAGATGTATTACAGTAGCTGCTTTCTGTCTAAACAAAAGAAAGATTAAAGTAACAATTTCTGCAATAATGTGTTTAATTACCCACCAAATTGGTAACGGAAATTAAGATTCTGCACTGGACAAAATATTTAGACCTACCTTGCTTAATTTGAAATGTCCTAAATACACGGAAGTGCTAAAAAATATGAAATAAATGTCATAGAAAGGATAAAATATTACTTTCTAACACATGTTGAGACATTGTTACAACATTAATTTTATATTTAATGTTCAAATAATGTTTTGGCAGATAGAACCTTATAATTCTAAGCGAAAAGTTTTTTTTTTTAGAATTAGAAGGTTCTATCTGCGTTTGACCCATTCCAAAAAAAAACATTTACAAATTTGAGAGGATTTTGATATTTTATATTTAGAATACATTTAGGGTCCCTGTTATTTTCATGTTTGAAAGAAGCTTGTTCCCCATATACATTTTCCTATATGTAATGCAAAAACTTTGAAGCTCAATATCTCAAAACTGCTCAGAACGCAGATAGAACCTTATAATTCCTTATAATTATAGCAAAAAAAAAAAAAGGTGCGACCAAATCATATGCTGGTGCGACCAACTGAGAAAGTTGGTAGCACCAGTGCAACCAGTGGAAAAGTTAGTCTGGAGCCCTGTTAAGACATAAGACTTGAAAGAGAACTCAATACTTGCGCTCTGTACACACACTTTCCGCACAAATCTTCTCACTTGAATGTTTAAATTGGCAAGGCTTAAATGAGTTTAGTTTAAACACAGAGAGCAGTGTGTGCTGTTCAGGTCTCTTGCGCACTATCAACACCTGAGTTAGGATGGCGAAAACGACTGGTCATATTATAGCATACGGCACTCGCATTGAACGAAGTTTAAGGGAAGCCATAATGTGGATCCATCGACAGAAACATACATTAGCCTAACTCTGTCTGTCTTTCTGTTTTATTTATTTTCAACAAACCATATAGATCGCTAGGCGTCGTCAGATTTGAGATGAACCGCGGTGCAAGTGCGTGCCGAACCATGGGTGGACATCGGTACGGTTCGATATTTTTTTTTTTTTTTTTTTTTTTTTTTTAAACAGAGAAACGTTACACCCATAATAACATTATAATGAGTTGGATTTTTTTTTAAATAATGTAACTTAATAGAAACTAAATATTTTCCAAATAATATTTTAGACATTTAAATACTTACACTGGGTTAATGGGCTCTTTATACAAGAAACTGTATAGATGCCTTTTAAATTTTAGGACAGGGTCTCTCACTTGGAGATTATCATTTTGGCATTTAAAAGATTAAAAACTCCTGATCTTTTGCATCTGATAGATTCATTCTTCCATTTGTTTGTCTTTACAGGTAAAAGATCCACTGGAAATTGAGAGACTTGTTCTTGCTAGTGGAGATTCAGATTCACTGTAAACCCTGATGGACATACAAGAGGAGGAGACGAGTCTTCTGTTGTTGGACACATGCAGCATTGAATTCATCTTGATCCCTCATCAGAAAGTACACATGATGGTGGCAATGAAGAGCTCTGGATCTATCATTGACTTCTAAGAGAAGATTCCTCCAAATCCCAGAGGAATATGATTTACGCACACGCACCCGTCTTACCCGTAACATTGTCATCTCAGCCTTCGCACCAAAATGGTCTGTAATTTTACGTCAAGGTGTTACGTAGTCAGTTCTTTCGTTTTCTGATGTTCTGAAATGAATTGATTCTCAAACGGATGGGAACTCTTTACTTCAGTATCAATAAATGTTTCAGATTGATCATGTCCAATATTCAAGATTGTTTGTGGTGTTTGTCACTGAATGTTACATCCATCTGCTTCATTTGCAGTGTACATAGACACCTGTTAATATTAAAATCAATTTAATGTTATTGTAGAGATAAATATGCAATAAGTAATAAAATCTCTGTGTAACATAAATGACTGTTTATGTTGTTGAATATATAGTGTATTATAAAGTGTATATAGTGTAACTTTCTGATGCATTAATTATTATTCATAAAAAAAGTATTTTCTTTTTACTTCAAAACCGCACTATTTTTATTGTTAAATATGATAAACAAAAGCTAGTAAGTGTTGTTAGAACTTTACTGTCAAACAAAATAAACATTGCATTATATTGTCTTAAAATAAACAAAAATTATATGTGAAAGACACTCAATTTAATAAGGTTTTAACTTCACGACTATGTTGGCAGGGGCAGAAATGTAATTGGTTGAGTTTAAAGGACAAGTTTCGTATTTTGCACTTAAAGCCCTGTTTCAAGATCGTTTCTGATGAAATAGAACGGTTAAAGGGTTAGTTCACCCAAAAATGGAAAATTCTGTCAGTAATTACTCACCCTCATGTTGTTCCAACCCCGTAAGACGTTCGTTCATCTTCGGAACACAAATTAAGATATTTTTGATTAAATCTGAGAGCTGGATCACTCCTCCATAGGCTTCTTAAGGGATCGAAACTGGCCGGCCCAAAAGTTATGAAAGACATCGTTAAAATAGTCCAAGTGACTACAGTGGCTCAATCTTAAGTTTATCAAGCGAAGAGAATACTTTTTGTGCGCAAAAAAACAAACAAAAATAACGACTTAGGCACACACACGTAGGCACACTATTGGCCGACGCTGGTCATGTGTGTGATGCGTGACGTACAACCTAGAAGCTTTGACAACCCACTTCCACTGGATAAACCTGGACTCTCCATCCTCGCTGTTCTGCTTCAGTGGCCAGATGAGCACACCGCAGTTTCTTCCTCTCATATGCCTCATCTACCGCATCCTCCCATGGCACTGTTAACTCTATCAGTTGAACAATGCGTGCTGATCCAGACCACAAAACAATATCTGGTCGTAGGTTAGTGGTGGCAATCTCAGGTGGAAAAATAAGCCGTTGATCAAGATCAGCCAGCATCTTCCAGTCCCTAGCAGCTTCCAGTTGTCCTGGGCGAGAATTGGTGTTAACACCTTTTCTTGGTGGTTGCTCGCCTGGGCGGAGGAATATTGTCTTCTGCGTGTAATGTTTTTCTTAGAACAGGCGGCAACTTATTGGTCATACTACGCTTGCCTTCCAATGCTAAAGCCAAACATCGCAGTACTTGGTCATGGCGCCAAGTAAACCGACCTTGGCTAAGAGCCACCTTACATCCTGTCAAAATGTGCCTTAATGTGGCAGGTGATGAACACAAAGGACAAGAGGGATCCTCTCCTACGCAGAGGTTTAGGTTCTGCGGTGATGGGAGAACATCATATGTTGACCTAATAAGGAAACTGATCCTACTCTCTTTCATTGACCAAAGGTCTTGCCAGCCCATCTTGTGTTGTTCCACACTCTCCCATCTCATCCTCTCCTCCTACTTTCGCACCTCGTTGACTACCAGCTTCCTCCTTTGAGCTGGGCCTGCCTTGTGCTATTTAGGAGGAGCTAAACTGAGCCCAAAACCCCCTCTTCCATGCTGTACCTGTCCCATGATATCCCCAATTTGAAGGGCAGCCTTTGCCTCTACTACAGATTTCTTTGCTGACCACTTTCTACCAGTTTTTAACACAGGGGCTGCCTCCCTTACACATTTGTCGCGTGACTCTACTAAGGTCATTTCCAGTCTGACCTTGGCACACTTAAACTCCTCGGTTAAAGCAGAGACTGGCAGCTGCAATATTCCTTTACTATAAAGTCCCACTCTGCTGAGGCAGCGTGGAACTCCCAACCATTTCCTGGTGTATGAACTTATTAACGCTTCCAGCTTATCCACTGTTGTCAAAGAAACCTCGTACACAGTCAGTGGCCACAGCAACCTCGGCAGTAGACCAAACTGAAAGCACCAGAGTTTTAGTTTGCCAGGTAGAGCACAGCTGTTTATGCTCTTCAACCCTTCCACTGCTTGTCGTCTAACGTCTCCCACTCGAACTGTGTCCTTTAGATCCCCATCGTACCATCCATGCCCTAATGATTACTTCCATTGCCATGGTAAAAGCCAGTGGAGAAATGGTGCATCCTGCCATTATTCCAACCTCTAGGCATTGCCATGCAGTGCTGGATTTTGGAGTTGAGAAACTGAATTGCAAATCTCCAAAATAGGCTTTCACTAAATTTGTCATTGACATTGGTACTCTGAAAAAATCAAATGCTGCCCAAAGAAGCTCATGTGGCACTGAACCATATGCATTAGCCAAATAAAGGAATGTCACATGGAGCTCCTTCCTCTCCTTTTTAGCTGACTGAATTCGTTGCCAGATAACATTGATGTGTTCTAAGCATCCTGAGAACCCTGGAATGCCCGCTTTTTTAACTGAGGTGACAATGAAGCCATTCTTTAATAGGTAGGTGGACAATCTCTGGGCAATAATGCTGAAGAAAATTATCTAATTTTTTAATTTGATATAACTTACTATCGTTTAGTAGAAGTTAGGAAACTAGATATCTGATTGCTACAACAGTGCTATAGTATTGCAGTGTTGGGGATGCAGTATTTAATTATCATATTTATGATCGGTAAATACCCAATATCACCTGAGGCCGGGCTGTTCCATAAAACAAGATTAGAATACAAGCCAGGCTTATTTTGGTAAGCCAGGCTTATTTTGGTTAGTCAGACTTATTGTCGGTTGATTCTGTTTCATAAAGCAAACTTAAAATAGTTCAAACTCAGTTACTCTGGCAATTTATCCTGGGAAACTAACCTGGTCCAGGGCAGGCTAAGACCAATTAAATATTAAATATTATTATCAATTAAATATTATTTAATTGATAATCCATTAAATCATACTTTTAGTTACTGTATATATGATTTTTCAGCCATTTTGCCTAAAATCATCTTTGAATGTCTTTAATTTCTCATTGTTGCAGTTGGTCTGACACTCCCAGCCATGTTGGCATGTCCAACTTATCAAACATCCTAAAGATAAATTATTATAGTTAGAAGATATTTCTGGTGTTATAAAATATTGCATATTCATTTTCCAAGCAAAATGTAAATGAATATGCTATATTTTATAACACCAGAAATGATTGCGCTCCTATTTGGCGTGCAGCAGCGCTCGTTCAATGTGAAGTTTAGCAGCAAAATGGAAATATTCGCACGACTTTCTAACATTTACAGATGGGGGAATATACCTGTGAAATGTAAGTTTTGCACTGAGGAAAACACTATGTCTCAAACGCATAAAACAGCACAAAATATACGCTGTTTAATGGTGGATCGATTTGATCCACGATCGACCTCTAGGGCTGCTTAAGAAACCCGTGCACGCAATTATCTAGACTAGATAAACCTGGATCAAATTAGTGGGATTGTGTGAACTTCAATTACCTTTTATGAAACCTCTTTAGCACCAACATATGTGTTAGGTTCATTCAAATCAGGTGTTGGAGTTTAATCCCCGCTTTTCTTAGCCCGGATTATTTCCACCAACTGCGGAACGGCTGCAGATCCGCTCAAGAACGGCAGCGGAGTCAATAGGTTTCCATTAAATTCAATGTGTGTATTTTCCCTGACTGCAGAACAGCTGTGTTCCGACTCCGTATCAGCTCCAGCGATCCGCAGCCCTCCGGAGCAGATGCGCATGAGCTTTGATTTTTGCTGGATGCCGGAGAGCTCCGCAGCAATTCAGCACAGGGCAGATTGTCATATCGCGCGATCATACGTGAATTTGCGAGATCTCGTGGGTCCTCGTGACTTCAGCTGTCAGTCATAGCCGCAGCCGTTCCACAACAAATCCAGACCTGGTGGGTATTGTATTAAAGGATGGCAGAACACGGAGCTGATCCGCAGCTGTTTCGCAGTTGGTGGAAATCCGGGGTAATCCGCTATAGCGTCTTTTATGAAACAGCCCTCTGCTCATATTTTCTTTGTTTTGTTTGATTTTTTCCCCACAACAAAGGTGTCTTATAAACACAGTAATAGCAGTCAGAGGTAAAACTGTATGCCCAACGAACACCGATCACCGTAATGGTAACTTTAAAAGGAACATTTTCAATAGTGTGTTGACGGTAACTCATTACAAGTAATCAGTTTATTTATTTTCAAGTAAAGTAAAACATTTATTTTAAATATACAATAAAATATCGGAGTTATTTTTTTTTCAAATAATTATCGCAAGTCACTTTGTTTTCCCATTGACAGACTCCTCTCCTGTATGTTGAAATCAGGAGTAAGTGAAGAGATGTGTGTGTCAACATGATGCTTATTTTAGTTCTAGACTAAATGTGAACAGGCATGTACTCAGTTTGCATTTCACAGTTTTTGTGCATGAATATTACGCAATCCCGCCATAATTAAATGTTAAATAACACTGAATTTTAACAAATGTCTTTGCTGCTGTCCTTTGATAATCCAATTCAACCATACTAATAAGCAACAATGACTTTAGATAAACATTGCATTTGTGTTTCATTTTTTGTTTTTATTGCTGAAGTGAAATGGTTGATCTTTCATCTCATGTGTTCCTGTTCCTGTATCCAGTTCAAATGGATATGCGGAACTTCAGGGGAAGCGACAAAAAATTCTGTATTATGAATTTTTTAAGGCCAGACAAGTAATTTGGTGAGGTCAATTTGTAAAGAAAGACTACACGTCTGTGCACACATATATATTCAAACGCGCACACCTATAGACTGAACATGTAATATGCATGTGCACGCCTTCAGTTTACGCGGAGATGATAAAGTTTATCAAAAATATATTCAATGCTTGCACCTTAAAACCTATTTCAAGGTTTTCGTTCTCGAGCCGTCAGGCACTGTTGTTGTGCGAATGAGCGGGCCGGAGCGCATTAACGGTTTTCTGTTAGAACGGTGTCGTGTTAGCGGCCCCTAAGTTAATAACTAATGATCTTTGCAAAACTAACTTTAGCTGGACAATAACTTTATTCTAGAGCTGCTGTAAAGCCAAAACAATCTCTGTTTCTTTAATTTCCTATCATCACTGTAAAGCTGCTTTGAAACAATCTATATTGTTAAAAGCGCTATATAAATGAAGGTGACTTGACTTGACTTGACTGTGTCCTATTCTTCTGTAATCCAGAATGGCAGCACAGTTGAAAGGTTTGTTTCAGCTGCGCCCTCTACTGTTCAGTCATGAATTTGCATTTCCATTTGCATTGCACTTTTGAAGGTAAAGAAAAGGCCTATGAAGGTAAATAAAGGCATAGAACAAATTAATTTGTTGTGCACTGACAAGAAAGTTTTATATAATTAAATAATTAGGTTAAAAATATATATATATAACGGCTTGGGCCCGTCATCGCTGCTTGCAGCTATATTTGTTCTTGGAGTTCTTACACAAATTTGAGAAGAACTTTATTTCACAGGTTAAGTAACAACAGGAGCGCACCTGTGGAATGATGCAAAAATCTTCTCTTAAAGGGATAGTCCACCCACAAACTTTTTTTTTATCAAATGTAATATGATTCCATGAATGGCAATGGGCTGTACTATATATAATTTAAGAATGAGCTTAACATGTTTTGTATCACAGGTGCATATGAGAATCGAACTGGGTTCGAAACATTGGACATTGGCTGGCAGATCTTGAGAATCTTCCCCAAAGAGATGCTGAACAGGAGTCCTCAGAGCATTTTGGCTGAGCTTTATCCCCGAGACTCCAAACATTAGTCTAAACAAACAAATATCTAAATAATAAATTATACCCCATTTATTTCTATATAAAATAATACAAATAAGAAGTAAAAATCACATTTTATTATTTTTCATAAAATGCATTTGTGCTATCTGGTTGAAATAAATAAAATAAAATGTAATACATAGTATAACCAGTGTAACCACTTTATTTAAACAGGGTTGAAAAAGCCTTGTTGCTGAGAATTTTTCAGACATAATTATCAAAAATGTTGAATTTTCTGGCTCAACTAACTGGTAAACAGTCTCTAACTCTTGAGAATCTTCCCCAAAGAGATGCTGAACAGGAGTCCTCAGAGCATTTTGGCTGAGCTTTATCCCTGAGACTCCAAACATTATTCTTATTTCCTTCCTTGTTCATTCACTTTGTCTTTCAATCAGCTGTGACTCTGTCTGATTTGAATCAAATCATCAAACCTTGACCTGGTGTAAATAAATTTTGGTACTTATAGATTGCTACTCTATCTCTCTGCTCAAATCTATCAAATAGATTTTACTCTATCTCTCTGCTCAAATCTAGTACATTAAGTCTACACTGATGGATTACAAAGTTGTTTTCATTGCTGTTCTTGGTATTTATTTATTTTATTAAAGCAAACATGTTATGAATATCGTTGCTGCCCTGCAGTGTGGACGTTTTTTTTCACTGAGTTGCTCAGTGTGTTAAATTGTGTATATTGTCTTTTTTTTTTTTTTGCCTAACCATGTAACTTGCTAAGTTGGTAAAAGGTACAGGATTGTTTTTAAACGCAATTTAGCATTAAATTCCCCCCGATTTAGCATAAACCGTCTTTCTTCTGTATGTGCCCAATCCTAAAACTTACCTACCCCGTATATCAGTAATTGTCTCTCTGCACAGTTTGTATTACATTATGACAATTAAACACAACTATTTATAAAGATCACATTTTGTGTAAAATGTATGAGAATATCCTATGCAGACAATACACAGATACACACTTTAAAATGTTTAAACAGCACAGGGAATCAGAGCCTTCATAAAACCATCATCAATTATCTTTTAACAGCCAGTTAGTTTCCCAGGTGAACAATGTTTCATGTAATTAGTTATTTGCCCTAATTGGACTGATGAAGGCCTATAAAATACACTTATCTCCGGTTAGATATGTTTGCAATTGTAGTGTCTGTGTGGTGGTTTGAGAAAGTGAATGTTGGGGCATTGGAGTACTCAGGGTTTTTTTGTTTGCCATGGATAAAGGGTGGACACAGTGAGTTTATTCAATCAATCTCGGTTTGTGGATGATTCAGCAAATAATTAATTTCCTTTATGTATTTTATATATTTACTTTTAGGTTACCCTTGTTTGTAATCTTCCTGCTCTTTTTGAGTAATACTCATGGATTTAAAGGTAAGATTAATGTTTTTGGCGTTTTTATTTTTTATTTTCTCTTGTAAAGGATTTTAAATTGTGAGGTTTCTTTTTCTACAAGTCTTCTATTTTGTGTAATTCACAGGTGGGGCTCATTCAGATGCCCGCCACCGGTGGGGCCAAGCTTCAGACAGAACGTTCTCACCTTTTGGAGTCCAGTCTTCTGTGTCAGAGGTCCCTGTGACTGGGATTTTGCCTGAAGAAGTGGGCTCTAGTTTATTCACTAACAGACCCCTGAAAGGTTGAACTTACTCCAATTTGTTAAAGGTGGTGTTTCCAGCAGGCATGAATCAATGTCCCATGCCCAGACAGCTCCAAGCAGCTCTGTTTTAGCTTCCTTGCCTCTACCCTTAAATGAACAGCATGCAGGCCGTTTGACATCGCTCCAGGGTTCAGCCGCTAAAGATACTACTAGTGTTTCTACACAAGGAGAAGGTAGCTTCCCTGCCACACTTGGCACTTCTGGCCTGTCCACCAGTGATGAAAGCTCCCCTAGTTTGTACATGTCCAGCTCCCTGGAAACCTCTGGTGCTAAATCAGCAGAAGCCACTTTGCCTGTGTTCTCTCAGGAGAGCATCTCTTACAGCAGTTCATCTGCTCCAGGTGCCACGTACACTTCTCAAGGTAGCCCAGTGCTGGCTTCAGAAGGCTCTGGTCAATCCATCTCCCCTCAGGGTGAAAGCAGTTACAGTGGCTTGCCTCAGTCTCAAGGTGCCTCGAGTCAATATAACCCAGGCTCCTATAACATGCTCAGTTCTTCATCTGTTTCTAGTCAGTCTACCAGTGACCAGAGTACCCCCGGTTTGTATAGTTCTAGCTTTCAGGGAAGTTCGGGCAGTTTGTTGGAAGCTTCTGGCTCTTTTCAAGGGGAAGTGGCAGGGCTTAGCTCTCATGTTGACTTGTCTCCCCAATCACAAGACAACTCCAGTCAGCTTCTACCCTCACCCATGAAGGTCTCTAGCCAGTCTACTAATGGTCAAAGCACTCCCAGCTTGTTTATGCTTGGCTCTGAGAGCAGTTCAGATTCACAGTCAACAGGTCCAGCTTCACCTCTAGACACTCAGGGTAGTCTCTCTCAAAGCATTTCTAGCCAGTCCACAAGCGTTCAAAGTTCACCTAGTGTGTCTACAAGCACCCAGAGCAGGTCTGCCACTCAATTAACTTCCAGTAATTTTTTTCCTGTGCAGGGAGGTAGTAGTTCTACTTCTAGCTTATATCTGAAGCCTCAGGGCACTCTGGGTCTGTATGCCCCTGCGTCCCATACCAAATATGTGAGTTCCCCCATGTCATCACACCCAGCTGTTTATAGCCAGTCAAAAAGTAGCTCTGGTCCTTGGTTTGGGGGCTCTACTGGCTTTTCCTCCCAGGGAATGAGTAGCACTTACAGTGGTTCTGTCCAGCCTCAAGGTACCACAAGTCAGTTTGCCTCTGGGTCTCCATCCTACTATCCAAGTGTATCACTATTCTCACCCCAAGGTGCCTCCAGTCAGTCTGCTGCAGTCCAGAGTTCACAGAAGCAGTTTACCTCTACCTTCACAGGCAACTCTGGCACCCAGGAAGGACCCTCTGCTCCCTTCAAATGGCAGGGAAGCACCACCTATGGTGGATCACTCCAGCCTCAAGATACCACAAGTCAGTTCGCCTCTGGATCTCCATCCTACTATCCAAGTGTATCACTATCCTCGCCACAAGGGGCCTCCAGTCAGTCTGCTACAGTCCAGAGTTCACGGAAGCAGATTGCCTCTAGCTATGGCACCCAGTCAGGGTCCTCTAAGCCATTCACTCTGCAGGGAAGCTCCACTTATGGTGGGTCACTCCAGCCTCAGGGTACCACAAGTCAGTTTGCCTCTGGGTCTCCATCCTACTATCCAAGTGTATCACTATTCTCACCCCAAGGTGCCTCCAGTCAGTCTGCTGCAGTCCAGAGTTCACAGAAGCAGTTTACCTCTACCTTCACAGGCAACTCTGGCACCCAGGAAGGACCCTCTGTTCCCTTCAAATGGCAGGGAAGCACCACCTATGGTGGATCACTCCAGCCTCAAGATACCACAAGTCAGTTTGCCTCTGGGTCTCCATCCTCCTATCCAAGTGTATCACTATTCTCACCCCAAGGTGCCTCCAGTCAGTCTGCTACAGTACAGAGTTCACAGAAGCAGTTCACCTCTAGCTATGGCACCCAGTCAGGGTCCTCTAAGCCATTCACCCTGCAGGGAAGCACCACTTATGGTGGATCACTCCAGCTTCAAGATACCTCAAATCAGTTTGCCTCTGGGTCTCCATCCTCCTATCCAAGTGTATCACTATTCTCACCCCAAGGTGCCTCCAGTCAGTCTGCTACAGTCCAGAGTTCACGGAAGCAGTTTACCTCTAGCTATGGCACCCAGTCAGGGTCCTCTAAGCCATTCACCCAGCAGGGAAGCACCACCTATGGTGGATCACTCCAGCCTCAAGATACCTCAAATCAGTTTGCCTCTGGGTCTCCATCCTCCTATCCAAGTGTATCACTATTCTCACCCCAAGGTGCCTCCAGTCAGTCTGCTACAGTCCAGAGTTCACGGAAGCAGTTCACCTCTAGCTATGGCACCCAGTCAGGGTCCTCTAAGCCATTCACCCAGCAGGGAAGCACCACCTATGGTGGATCACTCCAGCCTCAAGATACCTCAAATCAGTTTGCCTCTGGGTCTCCATCCTCCTATCCAAGTGTATCACTATTCTCACCCCAAGGTGCCTCCAGTCAGTCTGCTACAGTCCAGAGTTCACGGAAGCAGTTCACCTCTAGCTATGGCACCCAGTCAGGGTCCTCTAAGCCATTCACCCTGCAGGGAAGCACCACCTATGGTGGATCACTCCAGCCTCAAGATACCTCAAATCAGTTTGCCTCTGGGTCTCCATCCTCCTATCCAAGTGTATCACTATTCTCACCCCAAGGTGCCTCCAGTCAGTCTGCTGCAGTCCAGAGTTCACAGAAGCAGTTTACCTCTACCTTCACAGGCAACTCTGGCACCCAGGAAGGACCCTCTGCTCCCTTCAAATGGCAGGGAAGCACCACCTATGGTGGATCACTCCAGCCTCAAGATACCACAAGTCAGTTCGCCTCTGGATCTCCATCCTACTATCCAAGTGTATCACTATCCTCGCCACAAGGGGCCTCCAGTCAGTCTGCTACAGTCCAGAGTTCACGGAAGCAGTTCACCTCTAGCTATGGCACCCAGTCAGGGTCCTCTAAGCCATTCACCCTGCAGGGAAGCACCACCTATGGTGGATCACTCCAGCCTCAAGATACCTCAAATCAGTTTGCCTCTGGGTCTCCATCATCCTATCCAAGTGTATCACTATTCTCACCCCAAGGTGCCTCCAGTCAGTCTGCTACAGTCCAGAGTTCACGGAAGCAGTTCACCTCTAGCTATGGCACCCAGTCAGGGTCCTCTAAGCCATTCACCCTGCAGGGAAGCACCACCTATGGTGGATCACTCCAGCCTCAAGATACCACAAGTCAGTTTGCCTCTGGGTCTCCATCCTCCTATAATGGTCATTGTGTATCGTTGTCCTCGCCCCAAGGTGTTGCCGACCAGTCCAGCCAAGCATTTCAAAGCTTTTCTGGGTCCCAAAGCCAATAGTCTCAAAGATGGCAGCCTTCACGAGGTATTCAGACCTCAGGTGCAGCTGCATCACAGGGCAGCTCTCTGTCTCAAAGCTCTCCAATGCAGAGTTTGTTTCCTTGTCATCAGCAGGAGGCTCATCTTCAGGAGATCCTGGACCGTTTGTTTCTGCACAGGGTGGTAGCAGCAGATATGGTGGCTTTTCTCTTCATTCTCAAAGCCCCTCTAGCAAGTACACCCCTGGGTCTCATGCATATGCCAAGCTTGCTTCCTCTCCCCTAGCTGTTTCTAGCCAGTCTACCAGTGATAAGCGGTCAAATGGCCTGTATAGCTCAGACTCTCTGCGAACCCTGGGTCTCATTGGTGTAGTTGAAAGACCCTCTAGACTCCCATCTCAAGCTCCTTCTGACTCTACAAGCAGTAACCAGATATCTGAGCATTTTGTGGCCATGCAACGCCCCACAGGTTCAAACCTAACTCCATCTCTAGGCTTGAGTGCCCAAGCATCATCTGTTGGCATGTTCTCTGGTATCCCACAGACTGCGCAGGCTCTACGTGAATCTGGGTCAGATGTCCAGCTATACAATCGACCATTCCTCAATCAGCTATACTCCGTAAAGGGCTAAGGGACTCTATAAAACAGCTACATTATGCAAAGTGATGTCTTCCAGAATATAAAATCTAATAAATGTTTGTAACAGGTTTTTTTCTTGTGCTGTTTTGTGTTTAAGCTACATTCAAAGGATAGAACCTCAAATTTGAATGTTTTTGCACTTATGCCAGATCTATTAATATTCATTGGTTTGTCCATTGATTCAAATAATTTAATACATGGTTGATCAAATTTTAAGTTTATTGGGCAAGTGAAAAACCATTGCAAAAATGATCTACTGGCCAGAGATTCAAATCAATAACTTTACTGAACTTAACCTGAGGTTAAAAACTGAAGATTAAAAATAGCTTCTAGACTAAAAGATTTGTTATAAACTGAAGTCTGTGTAGTAGTTGGTGGGGCTACAGGGTTTAAGTGGGAGAAACCAATGTGCCAAAGTTCACTTCTTAACATCCCATCTTACAGCTGAAGATTCCCAGCGAGAGGAAAATGTCAGGACAAAAACAATAAAATCCTGCCCTCTTTGTCTGGTCCATAACATGTTTGGTCCATTGTACTTAAGAAATTCAGTGTTTGATATACCATGCCGATAGAAATGGACAACATGTTCTCATGAGTATTCGTATGTATTTTGCCACACGTACATTTACTTGTGTTCCCATAGACACTGAAACCTACAATATTGACGTATTGACAGGACTATAACATCAATTATTTACGTATGAACAACTTTACAGACTTACAAATGTGTATAAAATCCTTATTTATGAACATTAAAATTGTGGCAATATCTCGATTCTATTGTATTCAATTGTCATATAAATGACATTATGTTTTCAGTCACATTTATGAGAAACTGTTTACTCATCCACTTAATTTGGGGTCATTAACCTGCTCAAAAACACTTTGCACACGTTGAAATTGTCGGCCATCAGGGTCACTGATGACACAAGTGACCACACAAGATGACATGGTGGGGTCATGGGTTGTATTTGAGGGGCTCTGTAGCACACCCCTTTTTACCTAAAGTAGCCAAACTTCATACACTTATTGATCTCATTGGGCCAAACAAATTTTCGATCAGATTTTCAATATCACGAACGGTTTGGCTGTGGCAAGGCAACAAATTTATGGCAAAAAAAAAGGAAACAGGAAGTGTGTTATAACTTCTGCATACATTGTGTCACCGAGGCTCACCCCAATCGACCTGATGGTGGTGCTACAATGATCAAAAGTACATAATGGGTCATAAATCCTAAACCATTTGTCACAGGCTCAAGTGTCTTATATCATTGGAATCCTTGACAGAAAGCATGTCTTGGAATGATGTCATACTGGTAAAATTCAGGGGAATGTTTTCAAGAAACCTGTATACTTTTGTGAGCTAAACCTAGGTTTTTTGCCCGATCGGAACCAAACACATGCAAAAAGATTCTCTAGAGTCTGGTTGTCCATTATCAAGCCAATTTCCATTCACATTTGCAACAGGGCGCCAGAATGTTTGACGTGGGCGTGGTTACTTCTACTAAAACGACCATCCCTCTTGTACACATGTATGGGCTCAGTCTGGGGTCGTGTGAAAAATGACGTGGTGACTAGGGGTAGGAATCACAGGATAGGCTACGAAAGTTATCTTTGTAGATATCATTCTTTGTGTGAACAGGCCTTTATTGTTTACATTAGGTAGTACACATGCACAAATCAGGATGACTGATAAAAATGAAAGATTGAGAAGGGTATATAGATATGTTCAGAATAGCATACTACCATAACATGCAAATTATCCCAGAATGCAACACACTGTACCTTCCATGAGAAATTTAATTCTCATGTTTTGATCCAACTGCAGACGTAAATACATTTTTACACAAAATTAAATAAAAAATGCAAAAACAGCTTTTTATTTCTTTGATGATTGCGGAACGTAAATTGCTGAATTAAACAAACAACGTTTATGGTTGTTCTGTTTGACAAACTATTTTAAAAAGTATGGCTCCGTCCGAAATCACATAGCTACTTTGAACTACATAGACTTTGAACTTAAACATGACTGGGGCATCTATTATTGTAGGCTACTCGCACTGATTTCCACCATCCCGATGAAAGCCTCTTTTTCTTAGGCTAGTTAACTTATGTCCACGTTTCACGTTTACATGTTGAGCGCCACCTCGAGGACCCATGAAGTAGCGACGCTGGGAGCAGGGAAATCTATTTAGAGCGCCTTATTTTATTTAAAAAAATATCGCTATTTGACGCCAGCGTATCGATTATCGTATCGCACAGAGCATCAAGGCGTTCCTCCTAAACTTACTCCTCTGGGTAGACCCATGCAGGAAGTCTAAGTTATTTGCCTTCAAGAGCACCTGAGGGGCCTGACAGAGCCCACCAGTCCTACTCTCCATCGTCGTCCTCCTCAGTTTCCTCCATGCTGCCGCTCCCTGCCCTCAGCTCAGGGACCAAAATGAGCGGCTTCAGTAGCGCTCAGTTTCAGACTCTTACTCTAGCTCTTCTTCAAAAGAAGGGTCCCGTAGCAAAAGAAATGCTGATGACAGGGGTCGTCATGGAGAATTTCATTATCGTCATGGTGACAGACAAGTCGGGAGAGACCGTGATCGCTACGGAGAAAGGGACCGCTATAGTGACCGAGATCACTGTGCTGCTTCACAAACTATTTGTGAACTTAACTATATTTTCTTTAACATTCTCCAGCATGTTTTAATGTGTGCTATGTCATGTTTCAAACGCCAACATTTTTTTAAGTTCTTAATGTCTAATGAGCTTAACTTTTGTATTTTAAATTAAATTGTTTTAGTAGACTGTTCAGATTATAGTCTTTCAGTGCTGAGCAGCGTATAGTATGCCACAAACACTCTGATCAACCTAAACATAACAGTTGCAATGGGGAGAAAAAATATCAGTGAATCTATTATCAAATAATGTTATGATCCTGCATTCCTTTGATTCTGAACTAAATTTCTTCATTTCAGACCCCCGTGAAGATTGCTGTTGATGTGAGGGAAGAACGTTTGTTATAATCTAAACCTGAAACATACTAAACTTTATTATTCTGGATACTCTAGTGTGCAATTCTGTCTGTGGCCATGTTTCTGAATTAATAAAAAAGGAAGAAACAAAAAGACTTTTTTGATCTAAAGACATTTTGTTATCTAAAATAAGCAATCATTTGGTTTAGCGACTAATAACATGCCCTTATATGTAAATTCATTTTATTCTGCGTAGTAAAGAATCAATGACTTTCACCTGTGACATATTGATTGAGTAAATTGGCAGGTCTAGAGAAAAATGATGCTTGTCACGAGAGAGGTGGAGCCTTTCTGATTTACATCTGCATAAATTGGGATGGTAGCACCCTAATGTGTCATTGAAACAAGCTTGGCAATAATGGGGTTTTGGCAGGTTGGATTCGGATTGGTGTTTATTCTTGCACTTGGATTGTCTGAAGCACAATGGAGGGCAAGAGCAGCACATAATCGGAGTCCAAGCGAGTTTAGGCCTAGAACATTAGCTCAAGCTTCTCAACAGGCTGATTCCAGGATGTCTTTGGTTCCCAGTAACACTGCATTTGCACCACAAAGTTTTCCCGCTCAGTTTCCTGTCCAGACACCAGTCAGGACTGACTTTGGAAAGTCTTCTCAAGATCTTATGGGTGTTCAATTAAAAGAGCTGTTGCAGGGTCCAGTGGCGACACTGACGTGGAGTTTTCCAAGTCTACCAGAGGAACCGCAGCAGCCAGACGTTCCTTTTGAGTTGCCTTATCCTGTCCCTGCCAACAGTGTAGCTGCTCAGTGTGGAGAGAATTCAGTATATGTGGAAGTGATGAAGGACTTCTTTGGGACTGGGCACCCACTGTTGTCCTCTGGTTTTACACTGGGAGGCTGTACTGCAACTGGAGAGGATTCTTCTGCTCAAGTGCTGATCTTTGAGTCTGAACTGCATGGATGTAGCGGTACATCAATGGTAAGGTTCTGTTGTGACAATCATAGGTATTCTGAACCGTCCATGTGACTGTTCTTCTATTAACCTTTCTGTTTAGGTGACTGAGGATGAGCTTGTCTATAGGTTCAACATTATGTACACCCCACAAGAGGCTTCATATGGTGTTCCTATTGTCAGGAGCAGTGGTGCGGTGGTTGGTATCGAGTGTCATTATCCAAGGTGAGGATTCAATTAATTCAGGCTCACCCAATGTTCTAATCCTGCCGTTTATGGGCAAGAGATGACCGCTTGTTTAACTCCTACAGAACACATAATGTGAGCAGCGATGCCTTAATGCCCACTTGGATCCCATATGCCTCAACTGAGGTTGCAGAGGACGTCTTTGTCTTCTCCCTCAAGCTCATGACTGGTTGGTGTAGCCCATACAGATTTGTAGAATGCTTGTGAATCATCTGTTAAGATAATTATTTTACTTTTTTTTTTTTTCAGATGACTGGAGATTTGAGAGACCTTCTAACCAGTACTTCCTGGGTGACATGATAAATCTTGAAGCGTCAGTGCGTTTGTACAGCCATGTTCCCATCCGTGTGTTTGTGGACAGCTGCGTGGCTACTGCAGTCCCTGATGTTGCTTCTGTCCCCAGATACTCCTTTATTGAGAATAATGGGTAAGAGGTGCTACCTCATGTATCCCAGCTTCCATAAGGGTTGTGTGATTTCTAACTGGGTTCTGTTCACAGGTGCCTGGTTGATGCCAAGCTCACAGGCTCCACGTCTCACTTTATGCCCCGGACTCAAGGTGATAAGCTAGGGTTTCAGCTAGAGGCGTTCAGGTTCCAGCAAGCAGACAGTGGGCTGGTATGCATGTCCTGTAGTTGTGCAACTCTTTGTATGATATGCTGCCATGGTGTACAAACCATTGTCTCTGCAGGTCTACATCACATGCATTTTGAAGGTGGCTGCAGCAACCTCTCCAAGTTCTGAACAGAAAGCTTGTTCATTCTCTGCTAATGGGTATGTTGCCCGCTAAATAAGTGTACAGGTGAATTGGTTGCGTTAACTTATTTGAGGGTTTGTTTTGTCAGGTGGGTGTCTGCAGATGATTCTGACCAGGTGTGTGGCTGCTGTGACACAACGTGTAGCATCAGAAGTGGAAGTGATCAACTGCTTACAGGTTTGGACTAACTCTGATAAGTTGTTATTGTCATACATGGCTTTAGTTCTCACTAATCATTTGTTCCTCAGATCTACGCTGGGAAAGAGCATCTGTCGGCCCCATCAATGTTAAAGAATATGGCTATGGCCAAAAATAACTGGAAATGTCATGTGATTTTTTAATAAATGTTGTTAAAATATTTGGGTTTTTTGTTCTCTTTACTTGCAGTTTACATGGTTTCTGTTCAGACATGTACCACAAAAAGCCTTATTTCTACTGGCCTAGATGGGGGACATCTTATTTCTACTGGCCTAGGGGGGGACATTTTTGCTCAAGTCATTTGTTGGGCTAGGCCTATTACAACACAAAAAGGCGGAAGTACCTGGATTTTGGCGTCTTCGCACCGCAGGAACTAGGAACGATTTTAGTTCTAGGAACTAATTTAGCTCCTCCTTCAGAGTAGGGTCTAAACCAGCAATATAGGAACTATCTGTGACGTAAGTGTACGCTGATTGGCCGAACGCACTATTATGCATTATTATAAAGGCTGTGTAAACACACAGATTATAGCCATTTATTTCAGAAACTCTACAAACATAGAAAACAGTGATAGATGGGCCTCTTAACCTTCACGCTGAGGGGAAAATCCAACGCAACTGAGGGGACCAAGCAAAACATGATTATGTATTTCTGCTCAGCTAGCAACACTGGACATGTGTACACTTTTTATTTATTTTTTTATTTACATATAACAGTTCTTTCTAATAATGTATGAGACAGGGCTGTTAGACAAACCGTAAACTAATGAACATGGAGCATGCGAGCACTGTGTGCTTAGGCTCTGGCGTTGTCAAAATAAGTCACATAAGCGTGGCTTACGTCACTTCAGAGTTCCTACTGGCGGTGCAAATGCAACCAGGAAAACGTTCCTATGGGAACCATTCGTCCGTGTAGAACTACGCGGTGCGAAATCTCCCAGATTTGATGAAACTTCAGCTGTGTGTTAGCTGTAGGAAGCTGATGACATGGATGTGACTATTGTGAGTCAGTTATAGAGCCACCAAATGGCAGATGGAAGCATGTCACTTTCGTAAAGCAGACGTAAACCTGTGAAAGGATTCTTGAATACTGTTGTTATGGCAACGCATCAAACTTTTTATATTTCTTTTGGGTATTTCTGAGACTCTTAGCATGCTTCAAATTGCATGAAACTCGACACGCACACATCAGAGTTGTAAGCCAGTAGACATGGGCAAAGCCTTAAAAATGGGCGTGTAGGAGCGGCTAAGTAGCGTCACAAACTTCCCTGCCACAAAGTGGGTGGTTAGTTTTACCTACAGTCAACAAACTTGGTACATTACTGTATATTATTCTCATCGAGCCGGGCGACTTTCTAATTTACAGTCACCAACAGGAAGTTAGATATTTTTGTTTGAATGTGGATTTTTGGAATCAAGCTCTGAATTTTTAACTACTGCTCCAAGGAGCCTCATACGATTCACACCAAACTTTCTCAACATGATGCCAATATATTGAAGAGGCTACATTTCAAATGGGTCTCTTGAACGGAGTTGATGAAATAAAATAATGACAAAAAGGGAAACAGGAAGAGTCTCATATCTTCTAAATAACAAATTATACACCATTTATTTCTATATAAAATAATACAAATAAGAAGTAAAAATCACATTTTATTATTTTTCATAAAATGCATTTGTGCTATCTGGTTGAAATAAATAAAATAAAATGTAATACATAGTATAACCACTAGTGTGCAGCATAGGCCTATATTTAAACAGGGTTGAAAAAGCCTTGTTGCTGAGAATTTTTCAGACATAATTATCAAAAATGTTGAATTTTCTGGCTCAACTAACTGGTAAACAGTCTCTAACTCTTGAGAATCTTCCCCAAAGAGATGCTGAACAGGAGTCCTCAGAGCATTTTGACTGAGCTTTATCCCTGAGACTCCAAACATTATTCTTACTTCCTTCCTTGTTCATTCACTTTGTCTTTCAATCAGCTGTGACTCTGTCTGATTTGAATCAAATCATCAAACCTTGACCTGGTGTAAATACATTTTGGTACTTATAGATTGTTACTCAGTCTCTCTGCTCAAATCTATCAAATAGATTTTACTCTATCTCTCTGCTCAAATCTAGTACACCAAGTCTACACTGATGGATTACAAAGTTGTTTTCATTGCTGTTCTTGGTATTTATTTCTTTTATTAAAGCAAACATGTTATGAATATCGTTGCTGCCCTGCAGTGTGGACGTTTTTTTGTGAGTTGCTCAGTGTGTTAAATTGTGTATATTGTCTTTTTTTTTTTTTTTTGCCTAACCATGTAACTTGCTAAGTTGGTAAAAGGTACAGGATTGTTTTTAAACGCAATTTAGCATTAAATTCCCCCCGATTTAGCATAAACTGAGCTTTGTTCTTTCTTCTGTATGTTCCCAATCCTAAAACTTACCTACCCCGTATATCAGTAATTGTCTCTCTGCACAGTTTGTATTACATTATGACAATTAAACAAAACTATTTATAAAGGTCACATTTTGTGTAAAGTGTATGAGAATATCCTATGCAGACAATACACAGTTACACACTTTAAAATGTTTAAACAGCACAGGGAATCAGAGCCTTCATAAAACCATCATCAATTATCTTTTAACAGCCAGTTAGTTTCCCAGGTGAACAATGTTTCATCTAATTAGTTATTTGCCCTAATTGGACTGATGAAGGCCTATAAAATACACTTATCTCCAATTAGATATGTTTGCAATTGTAGTGTCTGTGTGGTGGTTTGAGAAAGTGAATGTTGGGGCATTGGAGTACTCAGGGTTTTTTGTTTGCCATGGATAAAGGGTGGACACAGTGAGTTTATTCAATCAATCTCGGTTTGTGAATGATTCAGCAAATAATTAATTTTCTTTATGTATTTTATATATTTACTTTTAGGTTACCCTTGTTTGTAATCTTCCTGCTCTTTTTGAGTAATACTCATGGATTTAAAGGTAAGATTAATGTTTTTGGTGTTTTTTTTTATATTTTCTCTCGTAAAGGATTTTAAATTGTGAGGTTTCTTTTTCTACAAGTCTTCTATTTTGTGTAATTCACAGGTGGGGCTCATTCAGATGCCCGCCACCGGTGGGGCCAAGCTTCAGACAGAACGTTCTCACCTCGTGCAGTCCAGTCTTCTGTGTCAGAGGTCCCTGTGACTGGGATTTTGCCTGAAGAAGTGGGCTCTAGTTTATTCGCTAACAGACCCCTGAAAAGGTTGAACTTACTCCAATTTGTTAAAGGTGGTGTTTCCAGCAGGCATGAATCAATGTCCCATGCCCAGACAGCTCCAAGCAGCTCTGTTTTAGCTTCCTTGCCTCTACCCTTAAATGAACGGCATGCAGGCCGTTTGACATCGCTCCAGGGTTCCTCTGGATCAGCCGCTACAGATACTACTAGTGTTTCTACACAAGGAGAAAGTAGCTTCCCTGCCACACTTGTCACTTCTGGCCTGTCCACCAGTGATGAAAGCTCCCCTAGTTTGTACATGTCCAGCTCCCTGGAAACCTCTGGTGCTAAATCAGCAGAAGCCACTTTGCCTGTGTTCTCTCAGGAGAGTATCTCTTACAGCAGTTCATCTGCTCCAGGTGCCACGTACACTTCTCAAGGTAGCCCAGTGCTGGCTTCAGAAGGCTCTGGTCAATCCATCTCCCCTCAGGGTGAAAGCAGTTACAGTGGCTCGCCTCAGTCTCAAGGTGCCTCGAGTCAATATAACCCAGGCTCCTATAACATGCTCAGTTCTTCATCTGTTTCTAGTCAGTCTACCAGTGACCAGAGTACCCCCGGTTTGTATAGTTCTAGCTTTCAGGGAAGTTCGGGCAGTTTGTTGGAAGCTTCTGGCTCTTCTTTTCAAGGGGAAGTGGCAGGGCTTAGCTCTCATGTTGACTTGTCTCCCCAATCACAAGACAACTCCAGTCAGCTTCTACCCTCACAAATGGAGGTCTCTAGCCAGTCTACTAATGGTCAAAGCACTCCCAGCTTGTTTATGCTTGGCTCTGAGAGCAGTTCAGATTCACAGTCAACAGGTCCTGCTTCACCTCTAGACACTCAGGGTAGTCTCTCTCAAAGCATTTCTAGCCAGTCCACAAGCGTTCAAAGTTCACCTAGTGTGTCTACAAGCACCCAGAGCAGGTCTGCCACTCAATTAACTTCCAGTAATTTTTTTCCTGTGCAGGGAGGTAGTAGTTCTACTTCTAGCTTCTATCTGAAGCCTCAGGGCACTCTGGGTCTGTATGCCCCTGCGTCCCGTACCAAATATGTGAGTTCCCCCATGTCATCACACCCAGCTGTTTATAGCCAGTCAAAAAGTAGCTCTGGTCCTTGGTTTGGGGGCTCTACTGGCTTTGCCTCCCATGGAATAAGTAGCACTTACAGTGGTTCTGTCCAGCCTCAAGGTACCACAAGTCAGTTTGCCTCTGGGTCTCCATCCTACTATCCAAGTGTATCACTATCCTCGCCACAAGGGGCCTCCAGTCAGTCTGCTACAGTCCAAAGTTCACGGAAGCAGATTGCCTCTAGCTATGGCACCCAGTCAGGGTCCTCTAAGCCATTCACTCTGCAGGGAAGCTCCACTTATGGTGGGTCACTCCAGCCTCAAGGTACCTCAAATCAGTTTGCCTCTGGGTCTCCATCCTCCTATCCAAGTGTATCACTATTCTCACCCCAAGGTGCCTCCAGTCAGTCTGCTACAGTCCAGAGTTCACGGAAGCAGATTGCCTCTAGCTATGGCACCCAGTCAGGGTCCTCTAAGCCATTCACTCTGCAGGGAAGCTCCACTTATGGTGGGTCACTCCAGCCTCAGGGTACCACAAGTCAGTTTGCCTCTGGGTCTCCATCCTACTATCCAAGTGTATCACTATTCTCACCCCAAGGTGCCTCCAGTCAGTCTGCTGCAGTCCAGAGTTCACAGAAGCAGTTTACCTCTACCTTCACAGGCAACTCTGGCACCCAGGAAGGACCCTCTGTTCCCTTCAAATGGCAGGGAAGCACCACCTATGGTGGATCACTCCAGCCTCAAGATACCACAAGTCAGTTTGCCTCTGGGTCTCCATCCTCCTATCCAAGTGTATCACTATTCTCACCCCAAGGTGCCTCCAGTCAGTCTGCTACAGTACAGAGTTCACGGAAGCAGTTCACCTCTAGCTATGGCACCCAGTCAGGGTCCTCTAAGCCATTCACCCTGCAGGGAAGCACCACTTATGGTGGATCACTCCAGCTTCAAGATACCTCAAATCAGTTTGCCTCTGGGTCTCCATCCTCCTATCCAAGTGTATCACTATTCTCACCCCAAGGTGCCTCCAGTCAGTCTGCTACAGTCCAGAGTTCACGGAAGCAGATTGCCTCTAGCTATGGCACCCAGTCAGGGTCCTCTAAGCCATTCACCCTGCAGGGAAGCACCACCTATGGTGGATCACTCCAGCCTCAAGATACCTCAAATCAGTTTGCCTCTGGGTCTCCATCCTCCTATCCAAGTGTATCACTATTCTCACCCCAAGGTGCCTCCAGTCAGTCTGCTGCAGTCCAGAGTTCACAGAAGCAGTTTACCTCTACCTTCACAGGCAACTCTGGCACCCAGGAAGGACCCTCTGCTCCCTTCAAATGGCAGGGAAGCACCACCTATGGTGGATCACTCCAGCCTCAAGATACCACAAGTCAGTTCGCTTCTGGATCTCCATCCTACTATCCAAGTGTATCACTATCCTCGCCACAAGGGGCCTCCAGTCAGTCTGCTACAGTCCAGAGTTCACGGAAGCAGATTGCCTCTAGCTATGGCACCCAGTCAGGGTCCTCTAAGCCATTCACTCTGCAGGGAAGCTCCACTTATGGTGGGTCACTCCAGCCTCAAGGTACCACAAGTCAGTTTGCCTCTGGGTCTCCATCCTACTATCCAAGTGTATCACTATTCTCACCCCAAGGTGCCTCCAGTCAGTCTGCTGCAGTACAGACTTCACAGAAGCAGTTTACCTCTACCTTCACAGTCAACTCTGGCACCCAGGAAGGACCCTCTGCTCCCTTCAAATGGCAGGGAAGCACCACCTATGGTGGATCGCTCCAGCCTCAAGATACCACAAGTCAGTTCGCCTCTGGATCTCCATCCTACTATCCAAGTGTATCACTATCCTCGCCACAAGGGGCCTCCAGTCAGTCTGCTACAGTCCAGAGTTCACGGAAGCAGTTCACCTCTAGCTATGGCACCCAGTCAGGGTCCTCTAAGCCATTCACCCTTCAGGGAAGCACCACCTATGGTGGATCACTCCAGCCTCAAGATACCACAAGTCAGTTTGCCTCTGGGTCTCCATCCTCCTATAATGGTCATTGTGTATCGTTGTCCTCGCCCCAAGGTGTTGCCGACCAGTCCAGCCAAGCATTTCAAAGCTTTTCTGGGTCCCAAAGCCAAAAGTCTCAAAGATGGCAGCCTTCATGAGGTATTCAGACCTCAGGTGCAGCTGCATCACAGGGCAGCTCTCTGTCTCAAAGCTCTCCAATGCAGAGTTTGTTTCCTTCCCTGTCATCAGCAGGAGGCTCATCTTCAGGAGATCCTGGACCGTTTGTTTCTGCACAGGGTGGTAGCAGCAGATATGGTGGCTTTTCTCTTCATTCTCAAAGCCCCTCTAGCAAGTACACCCCTGGGTCTCATGCATATGCCAAGCTTGCTTCCTCTCCCCTAGCTGTTTCTAGCCAGTCTACCAGTGATAAGCGGTCAAATGGCCTGTATAGCTCAGACTCTCTGCGAACCCTGGGTCTCATTGGTGTAGTTGAAAGACCCTCTAGACTCCCATCTCAAGCTCCTTCTGACTCTACAAGCAGTAACCAGATATCTGAGCATTTTGTGGCCATGCAACGCCCCACAGGTTCAAACCTAACTCCATCTCTAGGCTTGAGTGCCCAAGCATCATCTGTTGGCATGTTCTCTGGTATCCCACAGACTGCGCAGGCTCTACGTGAATCTGGGTCAGATGTCCAGCTATACAATCGACCATTCCTCAATCAGCTATACTCCGTAAAGGGCTAAGGGACTCTATAAAACAGCTACATTATGCAAAGTGATGTCTTCCAGAATATAAAATCTAATAAATGTTTGTAACAGGTTTTTTTCTTGTGCTGTTTTGTGTTTAAGCTACATTCAAAGGATAGAACCTCAAATTTGAATGTTTTTGCACTTATGCCAGATCTATTAATATTCATTGGTTTGTCCATTGATTCAAATAAAGAATTTAATACATGGTTGATCAAATTTTAAGTTTATTGGGCAAGTGAAAAACCATTGCAAAAATGATCTACTGGCCAGAGATTCAAATCAATAACTTTACTGAACTTAACCTGAGGTTAAAAACTGAAGATTAAAAATAGCTTCTAGACTAAAAGATTTGTTATAAACTGAAGTCTGTGTAGTAGTTGGTGGGGCTACAGGGTTTAAGTGGGAGAAACCAATGTGCCAAAGTTCACTTCTTAACATCCCATCTTACAGCTGAAGATTCCCAGCGAGAGGAAAATGTCAGGACAAAAACAATAAAATCCTGCCCTCTTTGTCTGGTCCATAACATGTTTGGTCCATTGTACTTAAGAAATTCAGTGTTTGATATACCATGCCGATAGAAATGGACAACATGTTCTCATGAGTATTCGTATGTATTTTGCCACACGTACATTTACTTGTGTTCCCATAGACACTGAAACCTACAATATTGACGTATTGACAGGACTATAACATCAATTATTTACGTATGAACAACTTTACAGACTTACAAATGTGTATAAAATCCTTATTTATGAACATTAAAATTGTGGCAATATCTCGATTCTATTGTATTCAATTGTCATATCAATGACATTATGTTTTCAGTCACATTTATGAGAAACTGTTTACTCATCCACTTAATTTGGGGTCATTAACCTGCTCAAAAACACTTTGCACACGTTGAAATTGTCGGCCATCAGGGTCACTGATGACACAAGTGACCACACAAGATGACATGGTGGGGTCATGGGTTGTATTTGAGGGGCTCTGTAGCACACCCCTTTTTACCTAAAGTAGCCAAACTTCATACACTTATTGATCTCATTGGGCCAAACAAATTTTCGATCAGATTTTCAATATCCCGAACGGTTTGGCTGTGGCAAGGCAACAAATTTATGGCAAAAAAAAAGGAAACAGGAAGTGTGTTATAACTTCTGCATACATTGTGTCACCGAGGCTCACCCCAATCGACCTGATGGTGGTGCTACAATGATCAAAAGTACATAATGGGTCATAAATCCTAAACCATTTGTCACAGGCTCAAGTGTCTTATATCATTGGAATCCTTGACAGAAAGCATGTCTTGGAATGATGTCATACTGGTAAAATTCAGGGGAATGTTTTCAAGAAACCTGTATACTTTTGTGAGCTAAACCTAGGTTTTTTGCCCGATCGGAACCAAACACATGCAAAAAGATTCTCTAGAGTCTGGTTGTCCATTATCAAGCCAATTTCCATTCACATTTGCAACAGGGCGCCAGAATGTTTGACGTGGGCGTGGTTACTTCTACTAAAACGACCATCCCTCTTGTACACATGTATGGGCTCAGTCTGGGGTCGTGTGAAAAATGACGTGGTGACTAGGGGTAGGAATCACAGGATAGGCTACGAAAGTTATCTTTGTAGATATCATTCTTTGTGTGAACAGGCCTTTATTGTTTACATTAGGTAGTACACATGCACAAATCAGGATGACTGATAAAAATGAAAGATTGAGAAGGGTATATAGATATGTTCAGAATAGCATACTACCATAACATGCAAATTATCCCAGAATGCAACACACTGTACCTTCCATGAGAAATTTAATTCTCATGTTTTGATCCAACTGCAGACGTAAATACATTTTTACACAAAATTAAATAAAAAATGCAAAAACAGCTTTTTATTTCTTTGATGATTGCGGAACGTAAATTGCTGAATTAAACAAACAACGTTTATGGTTGTTCTGTTTGACAAACTATTTTAAAAAGTATGGCTCCGTCCGAAATCACATAGCTACTTTGAACTACATAGACTTTGAACTTAAACATGACTGGGGCATCTATTATTGTAGGCTACTCGCACTGATTTCCACCATCCCGATAAAAGCCTCTTTTTCTTAGGCTAGTTAACTTATGTCCACGTTTCACGTTTACATGTTGAGCGCCACCTCGAGGACCCATGAAGTAGCGACGCTGGGAGCAGGGAAATCTATTTAGAGCGCCTTATTTTATTTAAAAAAATATCGCTATTTGACGCCAGCGTATCGATTATCGTATCGCACAGAGCATCAAGGCGTTCCTCCTAAACTTACAGCTCCTCTGGGTAGACCCATGCAGGAAGTCTAAGTTATTTGCCTTCAAGAGCACCTGAGGGGCCTGACAGAGCCCACCAGTCCTACTCTCCATCGTCGTCCTCCTCAGTTTCCTCCATGCTGCCGCTCCCTGCCCTCAGCTCAGGGACCAAAATGAGCGGCTTCAGTAGCGCTCAGTTTCAGACTCTTACTCTAGCTCTTCTTCAAAAGAAGGGTCCCGTAGCAAAAGAAATGCTGATGACAGGGGTCGTCATGGAGAATTTCATTATCGTCATGGTGACAGACAAGTCGGGAGAGACCGTGATCGCTACGGAGAAAGGGACCGCTATAGTGACCGAGATCACTGTGCTGCTTCACAAACTATTTGTGAACTTAACTATATTTTCTTTAACATTCTCCAGCATCTTTTAATGTGTGCTATGTCATGTTTCAAACGCCAACATTTTTTTAAGTTCTTAATGTCTAATGAGCTTAACTTTTGTATTTTAAATTAAATTGTTTTAGTAGACTGTTCAGATTATAGTCTTTCAGTGCTGAGCAGCGTATAGTATGCCACAAACACTCTGATCAACCTAAACATAACAGTTGCAATGGGGAGAAAAAATATCAGTGAATCTATAATCAAATAATGTTATGATCCTGCATTCCTTTGATTCTGAACTAAATTTCTCCATTTCAGACCCCCGTGAAGATTGCTGTTGATGTGAGGGAAGAACGTTTGTTATAATCTAAACCTGAAACATACTAAACTTTATTATTCTGGATACTCTAGTGTGCAATTCTGTCTGTGGCCATGTTTCTGAATTAATAAAAAAGGAAGAAACAAAAAGACTTTTTTGATCTAAAGACATTTTGTTATCTAAAATAAGCAATCATTTGGTTTAGCTACTAATAACATGCCCTTATATGTAAATTCATTTTATTCTGCGTAGTAAAGAATCAATGACTTTCACCTGTGACATATTGATTGAGTAAATTGGCAGGTCTAGAGAAAAATGATGCTTGTCACGAGAGAGGTGGAGCCTTTCTGATTTACATCTGCATAAATTGGGATGGTAGCACCCTAATGTGTCATTGAAACAAGCTTGGCAATAATGGGGTTTTGGCAGGTTGGATTCGGATTGGTGTTTATTCTTGCACTTGGATTGTCTGAAGCACAATGGAGGGCAAGAGCAGCACATAATCGGAGTCCAAGCGAGTTTAGGCCTAGAACATTAGCTCAAGCTTCTCAACAGGCTGATTCCAGGATGTCTTTGGTTCCCAGTAACACTGCATTTGCACCACAAAGTTTTCCCGCTCAGTTTCCTGTCCAGACACCAGTCAGGACTGACTTTGGAAAGTCTTCTCAAGATCTTATGGGTGTTCAATTAAAAGAGCTGTTGCAGGGTCCAGTGGCGACACTGACGTGGAGTTTTCCAAGTCTACCAGAGGAACCGCAGCAGCCAGACGTTCCTTTTGAGTTGCCTTATCCTGTCCCTGCCAACAGTGTAGCTGCTCAGTGTGGAGAGAATTCAGTATATGTGGAAGTGATGAAGGACTTCTTTGGGACTGGGCACCCACTGTTGTCCTCTGGTTTTACACTGGGAGGCTGTACTGCAACTGGAGAGGATTCTTCTGCTCAAGTGCTGATCTTTGAGTCTGAACTGCATGGATGTAGCGGTACATCAATGGTAAGGTTCTGTTGTGACAATCATAGGTATTCTGAATTGTCCATGTGACTGTTCTTCTATTAACCTTTCTGTTTAGGTGACTGAGGATGAGCTTGTCTATAGGTTCAACATTATGTACACCCCACAAGAGGCTTCATATGGTGTTCCTATTGTCAGGAGCAGTGGTGCGGTGGTTGGTATCGAGTGTCATTATCCAAGGTGAGGATTCAATTAATTCAGGCTCACCCAATGTTCTAATCCTGCCGTTTATGGGCAAGAGATGACCGCTTGTTTAACTCCTACAGAACACATAATGTGAGCAGCGATGCCTTAATGCCCACTTGGATCCCATATGCCTCAACTGAGGTTGCAGAGGACGTCTTTGTCTTCTCCCTCAAGCTCATGACTGGTTGGTGTAGCCCATACAGATTTGTAGAATGCTTGTGAATCATCTGTTAAGATAATTATTTTACTTTTTTTTTTTCAGATGACTGGAGATTTGAGAGACCTTCTAACCAGTACTTCCTGGGTGACATGATAAATCTTGAAGCGTCAGTGCGTTTGTACAGCCATGTTCCCATCCGTGTGTTTGTGGACCGCTGCGTGGCTACTGCAGTCCCTGATGTTGCTTCTGTCCCCAGATACTCCTTTATTGAGAATAATGGGTAAGAGGTGCTACCTCATGTATCCCAGCTTCCATAAGGGTTGTGTGATTTCTAACTGGGTTCTGTTCACAGGTGCCTGGTTGATGCCAAGCTCACAGGCTCCACGTCTCACTTTATGCCCCGGACTCAAGGTGATAAGCTAGGGTTTCAGCTAGAGGCGTTCAGGTTCCAGCAAGCAGACAGTGGGCTGGTATGCATGTCCTGTAGTTGTGCAACTCTTTGTATGATATGCTGCCATGGTGTACAAACCATTGTCTCTGCAGGTCTACATCACATGCATTTTGAAGGTGGCTGCAGCAACCTCTCCAAGTTCTGAACAGAAAGCTTGTTCATTCTCTGCTAATGGGTATGTTGCCCGCTAAATAAGTGTACAGGTGAATTGGTTGCGTTAACTTATTTGAGGGTTTGTTTTGTCAGGTGGGTGTCTGCAGATGATTCTGACCAGGTGTGTGGCTGCTGTGACACAACGTGTAGCATCAGAAGTGGAAGTGATCAACTGCTTACAGGTTTGGACTAACTCTGATAAGTTGTTATTGTCATACATGGCTTTAGTTCTCACTAATCATTTGTTCCTCAGATCTACGCTGGGAAAGAGCATCTGTCGGCCCCATCAATGTTAAAGAATATGGCTATGGCCAAAAATAACTGGAAATGTCATGTGATTTTTAATAAATGTTGTTAAAATATTTGGGTTTTTTGTTGTCTTTACTTGCAGTTTACATGGTTTCTGTTCAGACATGTACCACAAAAAGCCTTATTTCTACTGGCCTAGATGGGGGACATCTTATTTCTACTGGCCTAGGGGGGGACATTTTTGCTCAAGTCATTTGTTGGGCTAGGCCTATTACAACACAAAAAGGCGGAAGTACCTGGATTTTGGCGTGTTCGCACCGCAGGAACTAGGAACGATTTTAGTTCTAGGAACTAATTTAGCTCCTCCTTCAGAGTAGGGTCTAAACCAGCAATATAGGAACTATCTGTGACGTAAGTGTACGCTGATTGGCCGAACGCACTATTATGCATTATTATAAAGGCTGTGTAAACACACAGATTATAGCCATTTATTTCAGAAACTCTACAAACATAGAAAACAGTGATAGATGGGCCTCTTAACCTTCACGCTGAGGGGAAAATCCAACGCAACTGAGGGGACCAAGCAAAACATGATTATGTATTTCTGCTCAGCTAGCAACACTGGACATGTGTACACTTTTTTTTTATTTTTTTATTTACGTATAACAGTTCTTTCTAATAATGTATGAGACAGGGCTGTTAGACAAACCGTAAACTAATGAACATGGAGCATGCGAGCACTGTGTGCTTAGGCTCTGGCGTTGTCAAAATAAGTCACATAAGCGTGGCTTACGTCACTTCAGAGTTCCTACTGGCGGTGCAAATGCAACCAGGAAAACGTTCCTATGGGAACCATTCGTCCGTGTAGAACTACGCGGTGCGAAATCTCCCAGATTTGATGAAACTTCAGCTGTGTGTTAGCTGTAGGAAGCTGATGACATGGATGTGACTATTGTGAGTCAGTTATAGAGCCACCAAATGGCAGATGGAAGCATGTCACTTTCGTAAAGCAGACGTAAACCTGTGAAAGGATTCTTGAATACTGTTGTTATGGCAACGCATCAAACTTTTTATATTTCTTTTGGGTATTTCTGAGACTCTTAGCATGCTTCAAATTGCATGAAACTCGACACGCACACATCAGAGTTGTAAGCCAGTAGACATGGGCAAAGCCTTAAAAATGGGCGTGTAGGAGCGGCTAAGTAGCGTCACAAACTTCCCTGCCACAAAGTGGGTGGTTAGTTTTACCTACAGTCAACAAACTTGGTACATTACTGTATATTATTCTCATCGAGCCGGGCGACTTTCTAATTTACAGTCACCAACAGGAAGTTAGATATTTTTGTTTGAATGTGGATTTTTGGAATCAAGCTCTGAATTTTTAACTACTGCTCCAAGGAGCCTCATACGATTCACACCAAACTTTCTCAACATGATGCCAATATATTGAAGAGGCTACATTTCAAATGGGTCTCTTGAACGGAGTTGATGAAATAAAATAATGACAAAAAGGGAAACAGGAAGAGTCTCATATCTTCTAAATAACAAATTATACACCATTTATTTCTATATAAAATAATACAAATAAGAAGTAAAAATCACATTTTATTATTTTTCATAAAATGCATTTGTGCTATCTGGTTGAAATAAATAAAATAAAATGTAATACATAGTATAACCACTAGTGTGCAGCATAGGCCTATATTTAAACAGGGTTGAAAAAGCCTTGTTGCTGAGAATTTTTCAGACATAATTATCAAAAATGTTGAATTTTCTGGCTCAACTAACTGGTAAACAGTCTCTAACTCTTGAGAATCTTCCCCAAAGAGATGCTGAACAGGAGTCCTCAGAGCATTTTGACTGAGCTTTATCCCTGAGACTCCAAACATTATTCTTACTTCCTTCCTTGTTCATTCACTTTGTCTTTCAATCAGCTGTGACTCTGTCTGATTTGAATCAAATCATCAAACCTTGACCTGGTGTAAATACATTTTGGTACTTATAGATTGTTACTCAGTCTCTCTGCTCAAATCTATCAAATAGATTTTACTCTATCTCTCTGCTCAAATCTAGTACACCAAGTCTACACTGATGGATTACAAAGTTGTTTTCATTGCTGTTCTTGGTATTTATTTCTTTTATTAAAGCAAACATGTTATGAATATCGTTGCTGCCCTGCAGTGTGGACGTTTTTTTGTGAGTTGCTCAGTGTGTTAAATTGTGTATATTGTCTTTTTTTTTTTTTTTTTGCCTAACCATGTAACTTGCTAAGTTGGTAAAAGGTACAGGATTGTTTTTAAACGCAATTTAGCATTAAATTCCCCCCGATTTAGCATAAACTGAGCTTTGTTCTTTCTTCTGTATGTTCCCAATCCTAAAACTTACCTACCCCGTATATCAGTAATTGTCTCTCTGCACAGTTTGTATTACATTATGACAATTAAACAAAACTATTTATAAAGGTCACATTTTGTGTAAAGTGTATGAGAATATCCTATGCAGACAATACACAGTTACACACTTTAAAATGTTTAAACAGCACAGGGAATCAGAGCCTTCATAAAACCATCATCAATTATCTTTTAACAGCCAGTTAGTTTCCCAGGTGAACAATGTTTCATCTAATTAGTTATTTGCCCTAATTGGACTGATGAAGGCCTATAAAATACACTTATCTCCAGTTAGATATGTTTGCAATTGTAGTGTCTGTGTGGTGGTTTGAGAAAGTGAATGTTGGGGCATTGGAGTACTCAGGGTTTTTTGTTTGCCATGGATAAAGGGTGGACACAGTGAGTTTATTCAATCAATCTCGGTTTGTGAATGATTCAGCAAATAATTAATTTTCTTTATGTATTTTATATATTTACTTTTAGGTTACCCTTGTTTGTAATCTTCCTGCTCTTTTTGAGTAATACTCATGGATTTAAAGGTAAGATTAATGTTTTTGGTGTTTTTTTTTATATTTTCTCTCGTAAAGGATTTTAAATTGTGAGGTTTCTTTTTCTACAAGTCTTCTATTTTGTGTAATTCACAGGTGGGGCTCATTCAGATGCCCGCCACCGGTGGGGCCAAGCTTCAGACAGAACGTTCTCACCTCGTGCAGTCCAGTCTTCTGTGTCAGAGGTCCCTGTGACTGGGATTTTGCCTGAAGAAGTGGGCTCTAGTTTATTCGCTAACAGACCCCTGAAAAGGTTGAACTTACTCCAATTTGTTAAAGGTGGTGTTTCCAGCAGGCATGAATCAATGTCCCATGCCCAGACAGCTCCAAGCAGCTCTGTTTTAGCTTCCTTGCCTCTACCCTTAAATGAACGGCATGCAGGCCGTTTGACATCGCTCCAGGGTTCCTCTGGATCAGCCGCTACAGATACTACTAGTGTTTCTACACAAGGAGAAAGTAGCTTCCCTGCCACACTTGGCACTTCTGGCCTGTCCACCAGTGATGAAAGCTCCCCTAGTTTGTACATGTCCAGCTCCCTGGAAACCTCTGGTGCTAAATCAGCAGAAGCCACTTTGCCTGTGTTCTCTCAGGAGAGTATCTCTTACAGCAGTTCATCTGCTCCAGGTGCCACGTACACTTCTCAAGGTAGCCCAGTGCTGGCTTCAGAAGGCTCTGGTCAATCCATCTCCCCTCAGGGTGAAAGCAGTTACAGTGGCTCGCCTCAGTCTCAAGGTGCCTCGAGTCAATATAACCCAGGCTCCTATAACATGCTCAGTTCTTCATCTGTTTCTAGTCAGTCTACCAGTGACCAGAGTACCCCCGGTTTGTATAGTTCTAGCTTTCAGGGAAGTTCGGGCAGTTTGTTGGAAGCTTCTGGCTCTTCTTTTCAAGGGGAAGTGGCAGGGCTTAGCTCTCATGTTGACTTGTCTCCCCAATCACAAGACAACTCCAGTCAGCTTCTACCCTCACAAATGGAGGTCTCTAGCCAGTCTACTAATGGTCAAAGCACTCCCAGCTTGTTTATGCTTGGCTCTGAGAGCAGTTCAGATTCACAGTCAACAGGTCCTGCTTCACCTCTAGACACTCAGGGTAGTCTCTCTCAAAGCATTTCTAGCCAGTCCACAAGCGTTCAAAGTTCACCTAGTGTGTCTACAAGCACCCAGAGCAGGTCTGCCACTCAATTAACTTCCAGTAATTTTTTTCCTGTGCAGGGAGGTAGTAGTTCTACTTCTAGCTTCTATCTGAAGCCTCAGGGCACTCTGGGTCTGTATGCCCCTGCGTCCCGTACCAAATATGTGAGTTCCCCCATGTCATCACACCCAGCTGTTTATAGCCAGTCAAAAAGTAGCTCTGGTCCTTGGTTTGGGGGCTCTACTGGCTTTGCCTCCCATGGAATAAGTAGCACTTACAGTGGTTCTGTCCAGCCTCAAGGTACCACAAGTCAGTTTGCCTCTGGGTCTCCATCCTACTATCCAAGTGTATCACTATCCTCGCCACAAGGGGCCTCCAGTCAGTCTGCTACAGTCCAAAGTTCACGGAAGCAGATTGCCTCTAGCTATGGCACCCAGTCAGGGTCCTCTAAGCCATTCACTCTGCAGGGAAGCTCCACTTATGGTGGGTCACTCCAGCCTCAAGGTACCTCAAATCAGTTTGCCTCTGGGTCTCCATCCTCCTATCCAAGTGTATCACTATTCTCACCCCAAGGTGCCTCCAGTCAGTCTGCTACAGTCCAGAGTTCACGGAAGCAGATTGCCTCTAGCTATGGCACCCAGTCAGGGTCCTTTAAGCCATTCACTCTGCAGGGAAGCTCCACTTATGGTGGGTCACTCCAGCCTCAGGGTACCACAAGTCAGTTCGCCTCTGGATCTCCATCCTACTATCCAAGTGTATCACTATCCTCGCCACAAGGGGCCTCCAGTCAGTCTGCTACAGTCCAGAGTTCACGGAAGCAGATTGCTTCTAGCTATGGCACCCAGTCAGGGTCCTCTAAGCCATTCACTCTGCAGGGAAGCTCCACTTATGGTGGGTCACTCCAGCCTCAGGGTACCACAAGTCAGTTTGCCTCTGGGTCTCCATCCTACTATCCAAGTGTATCACTATTCTCACCCCAAGGTGCCTCCAGTCAGTCTGCTGCAGTCCAGAGTTCACAGAAGCAGTTTACCTCTACCTTCACAGGCAACTCTGGCACCCAGGAAGGACCCTCTGTTCCCTTCAAATGGCAGGGAAGCACCACCTACGGTGGATCACTCCAGCCTCAAGATACCACAAGTCAGTTTGCCTCTGGGTCTCCATCCTCCTATCCAAGTGTATCACTATTCTCACCCCAAGGTGCCTCCAGTCAGTCTGCTACAGTCCAGAGTTCACGGAAGCAGATTGCCTCTAGCTATGGCACCCAGTCAGGGTCCTCTAAGCCATTCACCCTGCAGGGAAGCACCACCTATGGTGGATCACTCCAGCCTCAAGATACCTCAAATCAGTTTGCCTCTGGGTCTCCATCCTCCTATCCAAGTGTATCACTATTCTCACCCCAAGGTGCCTCCAGTCAGTCTGCTGCAGTCCAGAGTTCACAGAAGCAGTTTACCTCTACCTTCACAGGCAACTCTGGCACCCAGGAAGGACCCTCTGCTCCCTTCAAATGGCAGGGAAGCACCACCTATGGTGGATCACTCCAGCCTCAAGATACCACAAGTCAGTTCGCCTCTGGATCTCCATCCTACTATCCAAGTGTATCACTATCCTCGCCACAAGGGGCCTCCAGTCAGTCTGCTACAGTCCAGAGTTCACGGAAGCAGTTCACCTCTAGCTATGGCACCCAGTCAGGGTCCTCTAAGCCATTCACCCTGCAGGGAAGCACCACCTATGGTGGATCACTCCAGCCTCAAGATACCTCAAATCAGTTTGCCTCTGGGTCTCCATCATCCTATCCAAGTGTATCACTATTCTCACCCCAAGGTGCCTCCAGTCAGTCTGCTACAGTCCAGAGTTCACGGAAGCAGTTCACCTCTAGCTATGGCACCCAGTCAGGGTCCTCTAAGCCATTCACCCTGCAGGGAAGCACCACCTATGGTGGATCACTCCAGCCTCAAGATACCTCAAATCAGTTTGCCTCTGGGTCTCCATCCTCCTATCCAAGTGTATCACTATTCTCACCCCAAGGTGCCTCCAGTCAGTCTGCTACAGTCCAGAGTTCACGGAAGCAGTTCACCTCTAGCTATGGCACCCAGTCAGGGTCCTCTAAGCCATTCACCCTTCAGGGAAGCACCACCTATGGTGGATCACTCCAGCCTCAAGATACCACAAGTCAGTTTGCCTCTGGGTCTCCATCCTCCTATAATGGTCATTGTGTATCGTTGTCCTCGCCCCAAGGTGTTGCCGACCAGTCCAGCCAAGCATTTCAAAGCTTTTCTGGGTCCCAAAGCCAAAAGTCTCAAAGATGGCAGCCTTCACGAGGTATTCAGACCTCAGGTGCAGCTGCATCACAGGGCAGCTCTCTGTCTCAAAGCTCTCCAATGCAGAGTTTGTTTCCTTCCCTGTCATCAGCAGGAGGCTCATCTTCAGGAGATCCTGGACCGTTTGTTTCTGCACAGGGTGGTAGCAGCAGATATGGTGGCTTTTCTGTTCATTCTCAAAGCCCCTCTAGCAAGTACACCCCTGGGTCTCATGCATATGCCAAGCTTGCTTCCTCTCCCCTAGCTGTTTCTAGCCAGTCTACCAGTGATAAGCGGTCAAATGGCCTGTATAGCTCAGACTCTCTGCGAACCCTGGGTCTCATTGGTGTAGTTGAAAGACCCTCTAGACTCCCATCTCAAGCTCCTTCTGACTCTACAAGCAGTAACCAGATATCTGAGCATTTTGTGGCCATGCAACGCCCCACAGGTTCAAACCTAACTCCATCTCTAGGCTTGAGTGCCCAAGCATCATCTGTTGGCATGTTCTCTGGTATCCCACAGACTGCGCAGGCTCTACGTGAATCTGGGTCAGATGTCCAGCTATACAATCGACCATTCCTCAATCAGCTATACTCCGTAAAGGGCTAAGGGACTCTATAAAACAGCTACATTATGCAAAGAGATGTCTTCCAGAATATAAAATCTAATAAATGTTTGTAACAAAGGTTTTTTTCTTGTGCTGTTTTGTGTTTAAGCTACATTCAAAGGATAGAACCTCAAATTTGAATGTTTTTGCACTTATGCCAGATCTATTAATATTCATTGGTTTGTCCATTGATTCAAAGAATTTAATACATGGTTGATCAAATTTTAAGTTTATTGGGCAAGTGAAAAACCATTGCAAAAATGATCTACTGGCCAGAGATTCAAATCAATAACTTTACTGAACTTAACCTGAGGTTAAAAACTGAAGATAAAAATAGCTTCTAGACTAAAAGATTTGTTATAAACTGAAGTCTGTGTAGTAGTTGGTGGGGCTACAGGGTTTAAGTGGGAGAAACCAATGTGCCAAAGTTCACCACTTAACATCCCATCTTACAGCTGAAGATTCCCAGCGAGAGGAAAATGTCAGGACAAAAACAATAAAATCCTGCCCTCTTTGTCTGGTCCATAACATGTTTGGTCCATTGTACTTAAGAAATTCAGTGTTTGATATACCATGCCGATAGAAATGGACAACATGTTCTCATGAGTATTCGTATGTATTTTGCCACACGTACATTTACTTGTGTTCCCATAGACACTGAAACCTACAATATTGACGTATTGACAGGACTATAACATCAATTATTTACGTATGAACAACTTTACAGACTTACAAATGTGTATAAAATCCTTATTTATGAACATTAAAATTGTGGCAATATCTCGATTCTATTGTATTCAATTGTCATATCAATGACATTATGTTTTCAGTCACATTTATGAGAAACTGTTTACTCATCCACTTAATTTGGGGTCATTAACCTGCTCAAAAACACTTTGCACACGTTGAAATTGTCGGCCATCAGGGTCACTGATGACACAAGTGACCACACAAGATGACATGGTGGGGTCATGGGTTGTATTTGAGGGGCTCTGTAGCACACCCCTTTTTACCTAAAGTAGCCAAACTTCATACACTTATTGATCTCATTGGGCCAAACAAATTTTCGATCAGATTTTCAATATCCCGAACGGTTTGGCTGTGGCAAGGCAACAAATTTATGGCAAAAAAAAAGGAAACAGGAAGTGTGTTATAACTTCTGCATACATTGTGTCACCGAGGCTCACCCCAATCGACCTGATGGTGGTGCTACAATGATCAAAAGTACATAATGGGTCATAAATCCTAAACCATTTGTCACAGGCTCAAGTGTCTTATATCATTGGAATCCTTGACAGAAAGCATGTCTTGGAATGATGTCATACTGGTAAAATTCAGGGGAATGTTTTCAAGAAACCTGTATACTTTTGTGAGCTAAACCTAGGTTTTTTGCCCGATCGGAACCAAACACATGCAAAAAGATTCTCTAGAGTCTGGTTGTCCATTATCAAGCCAATTTCCATTCACATTTGCAACAGGGCGCCAGAATGTTTGACGTGGGCGTGGTTACTTCTACTAAAACGACCATCCCTCTTGTACACATGTATGGGCTCAGTCTGGGGTCGTGTGAAAAATGACGTGGTGACTAGGGGTAGGAATCACAGGATAGGCTACGAAAGTTATCTTTGTAGATATCATTCTTTGTGTGAACAGGCCTTTATTGTTTACATTAGGTAGTACACATGCACAAATCAGGATGACTGATAAAAATGAAAGATTGAGAAGGGTATATAGATATGTTCAGAATAGCATACTACCATAACATGCAAATTATCCCAGAATGCAACACACTGTACCTTCCATGAGAAATTTAATTCTCATGTTTTGATCCAACTGCAGACGTAAATACATTTTTACACAAAATTAAATAAAAAATGCAAAAACAGCTTTTTATTTCTTTGATGATTGCGGAACGTAAATTGCTGAATTAAACAAACAACGTTTATGGTTGTTCTGTTTGACAAACTATTTTAAAAAGTATGGCTCCGTCCGAAATCACATAGCTACTTTGAACTACATAGACTTTGAACTTAAACATGACTGGGGCATCTATTATTGTAGGCTACTCGCACTGATTTCCACCATCCCGATAAAAGCCTCTTTTTCTTAGGCTAGTTAACTTATGTCCACGTTTCACGTTTACATGTTGAGCGCCACCTCGAGGACCCATGAAGTAGCGACGCTGGGAGCAGGGAAATCTATTTAGAGCGCCTTATTTTATTTAAAAAAATATCGCTATTTGACGCCAGCGTATCGATTATCGTATCGCACAGAGCATCAAGGCGTTCCTCCTAAACTTACAGCTCCTCTGGGTAGACCCATGCAGGAAGTCTAAGTTATTTGCCTTCAAGAGCACCTGAGGGGCCTGACAGAGCCCACCAGTCCTACTCTCCATCGTCGTCCTCCTCAGTTTCTACGGAGAAAGGGACCGCTATAGTGACCGAGATCACTGTGCTGCTTCACAAACTATTTGTGAACTTAACTATATTTTCTTTAACATTCTCCAGCATGTTTTAATGTGTGCTATGTCATGTTTCAAACGCCAACATTTTTTTAAGTTCTTAATGTCTAATGAGCTTAACTTTTGTATTTTAAATTAAATTGTTTTAGTAGACTGTTCAGATTATAGTCTTTCAGTGCTGAGCAGCGTATAGTATGCCACAAACACTCTGATCAACCTAAACATAACAGTTGCAATGGGGAGAAAAAATATCAGTGAATCTATAATCAAATAATGTTATGATCCTGCATTCCTTTGATTCTGAACTAAATTTCTCCATTTCAGACCCCCGTGAAGATTGCTGTTGATGTGAGGGAAGAACGTTTGTTATAATCTAAACCTGAAACATACTAAACTTTATTATTCTGGATACTCTAGTGTGCAATTCTGTCTGTGGCCATGTTTCTGAATTAATAAAAAAGGAAGAAACAAAAAGACTTTTTTGATCTAAAGACATTTTGTTATCTAAAATAAGCAATCATTTGGTTTAGCTACTAATAACATGCCCTTATATGTAAATTCATTTTATTCTGCGTAGTAAAGAATCAATGACTTTCACCTGTGACATATTGATTGAGTAAATTGGCAGGTCTAGAGAAAAATGATGCTTGTCACGAGAGAGGTGGAGCCTTTCTGATTTACATCTGCATAAATTGGGATGGTAGCACCCTAATGTGTCATTGAAACAAGCTTGGCAATAATGGGGTTTTGGCAGGTTGGATTCGGATTGGTGTTTATTCTTGCACTTGGATTGTCTGAAGCACAATGGAGGGCAAGAGCAGCACATAATCGGAGTCCAAGCGAGTTTAGGCCTAGAACATTAGCTCAAGCTTCTCAACAGGCTGATTCCAGGATGTCTTTGGTTCCCAGTAACACTGCATTTGCACCACAAAGTTTTCCCGCTCAGTTTCCTGTCCAGACACCAGTCAGGACTGACTTTGGAAAGTCTTCTCAAGATCTTATGGGTGTTCAATTAAAAGAGCTGTTGCAGGGTCCAGTGGCGACACTGACGTGGAGTTTTCCAAGTCTACCAGAGGAACCGCAGCAGCCAGACGTTCCTTTTGAGTTGCCTTATCCTGTCCCTGCCAACAGTGTAGCTGCTCAGTGTGGAGAGAATTCAGTATATGTGGAAGTGATGAAGGACTTCTTTGGGACTGGGCACCCACTGTTGTCCTCTGGTTTTACACTGGGAGGCTGTACTGCAACTGGAGAGGATTCTTCTGCTCAAGTGCTGATCTTTGAGTCTGAACTGCATGGATGTAGCGGTACATCAATGGTAAGGTTCTGTTGTGACAATCATAGGTATTCTGAATTGTCCATGTGACTGTTCTTCTATTAACCTTTCTGTTTAGGTGACTGAGGATGAGCTTGTCTATAGGTTCAACATTATGTACACCCCACAAGAGGCTTCATATGGTGTTCCTATTGTCAGGAGCAGTGGTGCGGTGGTTGGTATCGAGTGTCATTATCCAAGGTGAGGATTCAATTAATTCAGGCTCACCCAATGTTCTAATCCTGCCGTTTATGGGCAAGAGATGACCGCTTGTTTAACTCCTACAGAACACATAATGTGAGCAGCGATGCCTTAATGCCCACTTGGATCCCATATGCCTCAACTGAGGTTGCAGAGGACGTCTTTGTCTTCTCCCTCAAGCTCATGACTGGTTGGTGTAGCCCATACAGATTTGTAGAATGCTTGTGAATCATCTGTTAAGATAATTATTTTACTTTTTTTTTTTCAGATGACTGGAGATTTGAGAGACCTTCTAACCAGTACTTCCTGGGTGACATGATAAATCTTGAAGCGTCAGTGCGTTTGTACAGCCATGTTCCCATCCGTGTGTTTGTGGACAGCTGCGTGGCTACTGCAGTCCCTGATGTTGCTTCTGTCCCCAGATACTCCTTTATTGAGAATAATGGGTAAGAGGTGCTACCTCATGTATCCCAGCTTCCATAAGGGTTGTGTGATTTCTAACTGGGTTCTGTTCACAGGTGCCTGGTTGATGCCAAGCTCACAGGCTCCACGTCTCACTTTATGCCCCGGACTCAAGGTGATAAGCTAGGGTTTCAGCTAGAGGCGTTCAGGTTCCAGCAAGCAGACAGTGGGCTGGTATGCATGTCCTGTAGTTGTGCAACTCTTTGTATGATATGCTGCCATGGTGTACAAACCATTGTCTCTGCAGGTCTACATCACATGCATTTTGAAGGTGGCTGCAGCAACCTCTCCAAGTTCTGAACAGAAAGCTTGTTCATTCTCTGCTAATGGGTATGTTGCCCGCTAAATAAGTGTACAGGTGAATTGGTTGCGTTAACTTATTTGAGGGTTTGTTTTGTCAGGTGGGTGTCTGCAGATGATTCTGACCAGGTGTGTGGCTGCTGTGACACAACGTGTAGCATCAGAAGTGGAAGTGATCAACTGCTTACAGGTTTGGACTAACTCTGATAAGTTGTTATTGTCATACATGGCTTTAGTTCTCACTAATCATTTGTTCCTCAGATCTA